CATTTGATATTGCTTCTCTGTTTCTCTTATCACACTATCTTTCCACTGTGATTTTAGTTCTATTTTTAGCAGATATATTTTATAGGTCACTTGCTTCAGTCGCATTTTTTTCTCACATCCACATATTTTCCGGGTTGTTTGTTGCTGCTAACATCATCTCGTTCTAAACTTAGTTTATTGTTGAGTGGCACTTCTATTACGGGTCCTCTCTTTAACGCAGGTGGTTGACTTAATTTTCATCATTCTTTCCGGTACCGTTGGATACATTCTCAATTATTTGTGTGCTGCAGATCCATGACAGGTGTTACGATAGTGGATTTTATGTGTATTATTGTAAATTTTATTGATTTTAATTGTTGGTCGTTGATGAGATTTTATATTGTTGCTTGAAATTCAATTTTATTGGTGATATTGTTGATTAATTCTGATTAAGGGGAGGTTTGGCACTCAAAATGAATTTATTTAAGTTTGAGGCATGAATATAGCCAGGACGATGGTCAACCTCATCTCTTCAATATAAAAATTTCATCTTATGACTCTATAAAACCCTTCAGACTTCCATAATTGAGACTCAATAATGTTTACTTTAGAATCAAATCTAAATTCAAAATTGACCATTATTCAGCATTAAATCCACCAGGGGAGCGTAAATTAATACGATCTGATAATTATTCTTATCCAATAATTGAGAACCCCTCCAAACAGCAACAGAATATTGTTGCTATTCGTGATTAAAATCTCTTACGAAAATTACTTCTCTTTGTGAGTTAATGACATTAAAAAATCTTTTTTGTGATAAATGTAGCGCCTTTATAAATTACTTATTGATTTTAATTTCTTTTATTTCGATGAATTTTTATCGCAAGCAGGATATTGAGTTTAATTGCTGTTATTATTCTCGAGAATTGAATTGTTTGGAATGGATTGTCGGTCTTTTGTTCTATTGTGATTGATTATGATTATTTAATGATTTTTAGTGACCTTCGGGCTCTGGAGGAGCTTTGATTCGGTTGAGTGACATTCTGGGTTCTGGGTTATTCGGATGAATAGTTAATAGTTCCAGAATACATCAAAAATGTCATTTAAGTGTCTAATTTGATTCAATTTTTGATTATTTGTACTTACACAGCCAATAGTTTCAGATCACATCCAAATGTGACTCAAACTATGATATATTTGATTGTAGTCATTGATTTTTAAGATTTTCTCGGACCAAGATACTATTCAGCAGTCCAAAATTTTTCTTTTAAGCTTAGTGTTCAATATATCTAGTCGTATACACTTGATAAGATGGCACTTTATAGAAATCTAATTCAGATCTTGTGCTGAAATAACTCAAAATACTTTTTAGACCAAAAAAGTATTTTTCCATTCTCAAATCAGCAGACATTAGTCCTCAACCCCTTCACAACATTTTTAAGTACTCTTATGCCATTTCTTAAACCTACTCTAGTAATTTCTATCTATAATTGCTTTACTTTCTCGACATCCTCTTCATTTACATCTAATGACTCAATCTTCATCTCAAGACTTTTAAGTTCCATCATATTTTCATTTATCTTATTACCTGATTGAACTGTTTCTAAAGACACATTCATTTTATTGAGTGCTTAATTGATTCTAGAGTTTATTTAACTTTACTTTATTACTGCTTATTACACTACAAAATACAATTAAAAACCTTTTTTTACACATTTTTGATCTGATATTCTTTAATAACTTTCTAAATGCTCTCGTCAAGTTCAATTGCCTTTTTATAGATTGATGGCTCGGGTTGTGCTTGCAGCTATGATAGTCTTTGCTTATAGCTAGTTCGACGTAATTTGATGGAATTTTTGTTTGACTTTCAATATCTTTTATTTCTTGAGTTTGGTTAAATTTTGTAGACAAAGATTTGGACGTCACAGAGCAGCTCATTGGTTAATTTAAAGGATTTTATAATTTTTAAGGCACATATTAGCATTGTAAGGTTCAATGAAGAGCTCAATAATTCATTGGTAATGTCTTCAATTTTTGAGTAGGATTTATTGTCTCTGAAATGATTGATTAATCTCTGAAATCATAATTTTAGTTTGCAACCTTATTATTGTCATTTTCAGTTGAATTCTACATCCTTAAGTTCCTGGAAATTTCATTTAACCTTCTAAGATTTTCTAAAGCTTTATCATCTCCTCCTAAGATTAGTTCTGTTGAAATCTCATTATTGCCTTCTCTAGAATTATCTATACCTTGAACTATTTCTAGTGAAAGCTGGGTGGAACTGCTTACGTCAATTGAGATCTGCATGGCATTTGTTTCTGTGAAAATTTGCGTAGTTTTATCAGATTTTTTTGATGAGGCTTTAGTTCTTGCCGGGGCTTCATTTATTTTTGTGACAATTTCTTCAGATTTCTTGGAATTTTCTGAACTTTTGTCGCCTAAGTCTGTTGAGTTTTTGAAGGATTCTGAACTTTGCAGACTTTTTGAATTTTTTCTGGGGAATTTTGTTGGTTTTGTTTATGCTTTTTTGGAGCTTCTGGGAAGTTTTCTTTAAGATTGCTTGAAATTTCTGAAGAATTCTTGATTGTTTCTGTAAGATTCACCTTTTTGTTTGAAGGTCGTTTACTTATAATGTCTAGGGAAAAGCTTACAATCTAAAGAGGCTCTAACGAATTTAGGTCTTTGACAGTCTTTGAATGAATATCTTGACCATTTATCCTTGAATCTAGTATCTTATAAATTTGATTGAAAAGCATCAGAATTAGATTTTGTTGTTGTCTCGATTGACTTCTGTGCCCTGCAAATTCTTCATCATTTGGGGAATTCCCATTGGTCTGCCCAACATTGCATTAATTTTGTTCACAATCTGATTCCGCATAACCCCAGGTTGAACATTTGCTGGCAAAAAAATTAAGATAATCAATAAATTTTTTGCTATTTTTATTGAATTCGTGAGTCATCGGTCTTTTGCCTTTGGCTTTAATAAAATCGACCATCAGATCTTTAAGTCGTTCGAATTCACTGCCAAATTCAGCAATAATTGAATCGATAGTCTTAGTTGATGTGCCTTTATCAGTGACATGTGAGTTTTCCGTCATGTCATTGTTGTTAATCTGAGTTGATCCTTCCTATGAAGGTCTAAACTTAGATTCAAGTTTCTGTGACTGACTTGGAATAGAGGTTGATGCAAAAATATCTTATTGTTGAAATCAATGGGCAAATGAATTGTTTAGAGATACAAAAAGCTTAATTAATAGCTATTGAATTTAAACTTTGATAATTTAAAATAAGAATAACCACAAGTTCACATTCCTTGACAGACGTCATTTATAATTTGCCCTTAAATAAATCTAAATTTATTTCATACCTGTGTCATTAAAATTATGATGAATTCAAGCAATAGAAACTTTTTCATTTTATTATTATATGAAATTATGAGCCAAAGAGTACTTTAAGTACCAACTTAAAATGAGGAAATGTGCTGAAAAAGTTTGAATTTTATAACTTCATGACTTTTCTTTTCCTATTTAATGGTTGATTACTTGTGGAGAATTTTCTTCCCAATAGCGGAACCGCGACAAGAAGGAAAAAGTATTATTTTTGTTAATGAAACAAAACATCTGTGACGATGTGGGATATTATTATATTGTGTGGCTGGCGAACTGATAGCTTCAGTTGTCGCAACAACTTTTTTTTCCAATAATATCATACAGAAAAATTTGTCTTTTGCTATTTTGAGAGAGAAGAACAGCAGCTAGTAAGGAAAAGTTCTGCATGACAGATAAAGAAGTGGTGTTTTCCATTATTAATGAGACATTACCGTGCATTTCTTATTATTACACTCTTTAAATTGCTATACTTAGTGTTACTATCAATTTGCAGTCATATGTTGGACATTTAAAGTTTCTCGTTGATTTTTTGGTGATAATTACGGGGGTTATGAAGATTTTGGGTGGGGAGATTATATAAAAGTTAATTATTGGAATTATACAGTGAATGGTTGTTCTTCATTGAACATGAATATATGTTCCTAAGTTTGTAGTAATTTGTGTCTTTTATATGTTGTAAAGGTGGTCTATGGTCGTCTAGAACGTCCCTTTAGACCTTCCTCTTCTCCTTTAGAAATCCAACACCTTTGAATAATTTCTGACTACGTTTCTGATCCTACAGATTCATAAGATCATGAGCAATAATCATTGAAATCGAGCTAATTGTCGAACATGCCCAGACTCAATTTATAGTAGCTCATTCGACCCGCTGCTCTCTCCTGATGCTCAACATACTTCATTAAATGTTCATGAAGATCTTAACCTACCCTCTGATCCCCTCCCGTTCAATAATTATCACAAAAGTATTGCAAGCAACTTCCTAATTTGCCTCACAAGAATATCATAAATTCAAGTTGATTTGTATGGTTCCGTATGGCAGGTGCGCTTACCATTTAAACATTTCGTTTCCATTCTTTTTTTTCTCCTATATTTTTCTCATTTCACATGAAACAACAGCAAAAAAGAGGAATTCATTCAGTTTCTCATTCATGGCTGATGGTAATATTGGAATTTTTTTTTTAGATTTACCATCTGCCTACATGTTATGCTTTATTCGCAAGTGTTAGTTCACATTCTATGTGTCGTTCCCAACTCAATTCTTCTTCACTCTCAGTCGTCTCAACAAAAATTTTCTGTGATTTTTTTTCCCTTTCATTCCCGTCTTTTTTTTGAATCATCATGCACGAAACAATTGCTTTATGCCTTGTTTTAGTCTCAAAAAATTTGTAGCATTATATGAAAGATATTTTTATCGATTTGCGGTTGCGCATGAGAAAAAGCTCTGCTCGCGCTACACACATACATAAATCCTTTATTCTCCCACAAGCTTCATTGAAAAAATGTTATTCCTGTCTGTGTGGCTGTGTATAGTTGAGGGTATTGCCGACAATCGTACATGTTCGGATACTGCTGCTACTCTCATATATGCGTACGTTAAAAAAAATATTTGCTTCGTTTTTTCATTAATATAGTGATATCAATCGATGCTGAAACACAGTCGACAAAGTAGTAGTTCTCGAAAATTTGTGACCCAAATACGGTCGGGTGGGCACTTTAGATTAAAAAAGAAAAGAAAAAGTTATTAGCTATAGTTTAAAAAATATTGCAAAACTTAAACTTTATTAGAAAGTATCGACAAATACAAAAATTTATATCATTTTTTATATAGCAGAGCAAAAAAAAAAGTGGAAAAAAGTTTTTTTTTTCATTTGCAAAAAAAAAAATTTGCTTCGTGATGCTTAAAAAAGGAAAATTCTTAATCTGTGATTCTTCTCTATAGCAAATAATATTATTAATTACAATTATATATACAACACGGTACGGGATAAAAGTAACAAAGTGAGAAGCCAAGACTTTATAGTCACATAAAAAAAAATAATAATTTAGTGTAAAGCAATTCTGAACAAAATGAAAAAATCTTAAATAAGAGAAAAAAAAATTATTGTGATATAAAAAGGTTGGTAGTCCCTAGCAAGTGAAAAATTTTAATCTCATTACAACATATAGATTTTTTTTGTTCTCTATATGTGCATATATATGTGCCATGGATACTATAAAGTGCATATGCAGACAATTGTCAAGTGATGTATTTGTAAAAAAAAAGGATTACAACAGGATAATGAAAATGAAAGCATTGCTGCTGATTCATAATTGAATGTCTAATGGATTCATTATTATCAGTGATTCTGCAAATAATATATTGTTTAAAATAATAACTTAGCATCATCATCAAGGCCTTCAATTTATACAGAAAAAAAAATTTTTTTTTTTTTATTCTTTTTCATTTTGCCAATTTTTTCGGAACTTGCAGATAATGTCTAACGAGGCGCTATGGAAAACGTCTGACGCCATGTTGGACTCATTAAGTTTACAACTTCGGGAGGCAGAATCCCGAAGAGCTGAAGCCGAACGTGCGCATCAGGTGAGTTGTTCCACTACACATTTTTTTCTCTTTTTTTGTACGTGAATGAATTTCGTCGACGGTGAATTAAAAAAGTGAATTTTTTTTAAAATTTTTATTTTTAAAATTTTGTGAATTTAAAAAAAATAGATGAAAAATTTGAGAGGAACCGAGGGATGAAAAAAAAAGTTCTTCTTTTTTTATTTCGATTAAAGCTTTGGTCTCGTTGGTAACGAATTTCATTCATCAAATCAAAGCTCTCTCTCACGACAGTTCCTCTCTCGTGTGTGCTCTTCATAAATACAAATGCAAACAATATTTCCAATACAATGTACATATATGCCGACCGTAAATACATTACAAACGAAGCTTTACTGTCAAGAGTCCTCAACAAAAAATAAAATTCTATTTCGATAATCTCTTTTCTTATTTTTAAGCAGAGCACATAAAGAATATTTTATTTCGTTGATATTTTTGTAAACATCAGAACAGCAATTCTAATAATATACCATAGCTATAGCTATATATACAGATTATTTATTATTTAAATAAAATATAATATAAAAAAAATACAGTGACAATCTAAGGGGGTGGAATTTGAGACTTTGTGTGTCATGTTACAGTGATAAATTTAGCTCGCAGATACGTGCTGATATATACGACATATTGACTGGGTTCATTGAGACTCTTAAGATGATTTCCGTGGAATTCAATAAATAGATTGAAGATACGAATCGATGAATGAAGAAGTAAGGACGAGAATTTTCTGAACATTATTTTAATGTGGAAAAATTTTTTACTTGGAATTTTAAAAATAAAATTTTGAGAATTTTATTTCAATTTTAGAGTTTGAGGAAAAGTTTTTGAAATAACTTAGAATCTTAAAATGGTTATTGACTTAACTGTTTATTTATACTGTATAAGATAGATACTGAGCCCAAGGATTCGAAGGATTTGTTCTCATAAGAAAATTCTTCAATTTTCAAAAGTTTCTCATAATTTCAGGAAGGGGCCATTCATTTATGACGTCTATCAAAATACCTAAAATTTCAGACCTTCTCCCCTTCTGTCACAAAACTGTCACATATGTCAATACCCCTTCTTTTGACGTTCAATCCAGACACAAAAAAATATAACATCCTGATTAAAAAATTGGATGTCACAGTTTTTTGACCTTCTCCCTCTTAAATGTTTCACGTCATAAGTGAACGAACCCTAAGGTCCGGTTTCTATGGCTACCTGAGTCTCCTATTCTAGCCTCAGATTAATTTTATTTGTGTCTTATTTTATAGTACATCGAAGTTAATTTCTGTCCTGCAGGCAGAACTAGAAATCAGACCTAGATGGTTTTAAGCTTTTGTGTCTTTTACCGTCTTTTATTTACAAATGTTTTATAGAGAATTAGGTTTGAACTAAGATCTTTCAATGTGTCTAAAGACGTATCCAATCCAGTAAACCCTAGTAGACCCATAGTGTGATTTATAATTATTGTGGCAATATAATTTGATCTCTAATCATGTTAACATCGTCTTAAGCAATGATAAAGAAATTCATTTTTGATAGGAATCGAACCTGAAATCATCACAAAGTCAAAGAGATTCGATTTATTACCATACTCTGTCACAAACGTCTAATTATCGAACTGGTAGATATTTCCACATAATTCAAACCAATTCAAACTTTGAAAATTATATAAACCACAAAATACAAAAAAAAATCTCTCAAATTCCACCCCTTGGATTAGAACAGTAGAATAGAATTTATTAAAAGTGAACGAAATAAGAACAAACTTTATGATTTCCACCAAAAAAAAATATATCAAAATTCATTAGCATCATTCAACATTATAAGTTGATTATTATGCTTATTGTCAGTACCTCCTTTGAAGAATTCACACACAAAAAAGAAAAATAAATAATATGGGTACATGGCATGGTACAAAAAAAAAGACAAAAAAAAAATTATACATGAATATCGAATGATATTGTGATGATGATGATGATAATATATTTTAGGAGGCATTGGCACAATTACGTGGAATGTCGTCTGGTGGATCACGTACTGGTGAATCTTACGAAACTTTGCAATCTAGAGCTCGTGAATTGGAGAAAAAGGTGTGTGTACACAAAATAAAATAAAATAACCCCCAAAAAAATATTGCAAAGCACAGCTAAATTATTATTTTATTTTTTTTTATTATTTTCCATAAATAATCATAAATCTATCTCCTCTTATACTTTCCCTCTTGTTTATCCTTTAATAAATATATTTTTTTTTGAAAGTATACGCCACATACATAATAATTTTTGATGAAAATCAGAGAAGAAAAAAAATTCTTTTATGACAAATCAGATCAGTACTGCATTCTATCATAGGCTATCTGCTATCAGCATGCTATAGCATGAGTCTAATTTGATTACAATTTATTTTGACATCTTTTTGGGGATTGAGGTTCTTGATGATTTCATCTATTTTTCCGTTTGAATGTCTGTCCTGTGGGAATATCTAGCTTATTAACTGGTAATATGATATTTGTGGGATATTTTTAGAAGGAGATGCACGTCATTAACGTTGTTTTGCTAATTTCGTCTATTTATTGATGAGCTGCAGTGGCTGATTATCAGCAAATGTTGGCATTTGTGTCTGACATAATTGCGTTTATGTTTTCTTAGCTGCTTTCAATCACTTTAAAATTCTGGATTCAACCAAAGATGGTCATAAATGCATGACTCTATATAACTCATTAGATATATTTGCTTTGAAATGTTGTGAGAATTGTTTGAGTCTTTGTTATATTGGATAAGGTCTATTACTTACTTTCTTACTGTAACCATGTTCATAAGTGAAACTTAGGTTACAACAAAAGGCCTTCCATGGTTGGTTTAGTCACCTGGTTTATTCAATTTGTCTGTCCGCACATTAAGCTGACATTCTTTCATCATTGTTTTGTGCCAAGTAGCTTTTGGATCTCCTCGAGTCATTGTTTCATCCAGTTTTATCAGATAAACTCTATGTAAGTGATTCAAATTCTGTCTCTGGTGGGATTCGAACCCATATCCTTATGAAAAATGGTTACACATATTCAGTATGTTTTGCAAGTACTCAGCTATTAATGTCTTCCTCCAGACCTGGCAGATTCTTTTATATATGGTTCAATACCCCAGATTCCACTTTGCTAAGACTTAAATAATACAATCCATGTAAACTTGCCGCGGCACAAAGCTTGGACTACACTGACATAGAGTCAAATTTCCTATATGAATTTTTGGACCCATTAAAATTGAAATTACACTTTCAAAATCGTTCTTGTTCCTCTATCGAATAGACATTAAAGACGATGACCACCTCCACTCGTTCCTGCACAGTATTAATAAAAATTATGTCTTAATGTACTTCAAAAGCAAAATTAGATGATTTTTGTTGTGTTCATAGCCATTCTGCTTATTAGAAAAGATTAAACTTCTCTTCATTGATTAAAGTTATTTGGACTACACATTCTCCATAATTTAGAATGATTTTATAGCCTGAACAATTTCCTTTCAATCCACAATTCAATGCTTAAGGATATTCCCACAAAAAAAGGACAAACCAAATGACCGATGAACATCACCAAGAAACCAAATTACTCAACTTATCGTAAAATAAGATCCTGTAGAATAGAAATAAACTTACATTTTATGTGATCATCACATTTACTTCCTTTCCCCTCAATCTTTTATGATTTTTTCACTCTTTAAACTTTATCATTATGCGAAATATGAATGTCAACAAAACAAAAAAAAAACTTATAAAATACTTCCTTTTCCTAATGCCCAATAATAATTATGTGGCATGTGGAAGTTGTAACATGAAAGAAAATAACGTTGTCCGTTTTAATCATCTCAGGCTGCATTAGAAACAGTAAGATGCGAAGAATTGCAATTAGAATTGAAATCGACTTATAAAACGAGATCATCATCATCAAAATCCCGAGAACAAATAGAGCCAAGTATGACATCATCATTGTTAACATCATCGAGTTTAGGACAAAGTAGTAAATATACAATGGCATCAACGGCCATATCGAGTATCATGACAAACAATACGAGTAGTAGTGTTGGTTTATCATCAATTAGCGGCTTACATCATCCGATATCCGTATCGAAAGCTGAGACATCGACAGTTACGTGGGCACCGACACCCGATCAAAAGAGTTCCGAGATTGATCGAATTATGGCCAAGATCGAACAGGCACGTTTATCAATTGCTAATGTATGTGTGTTAATCAGAAATCACAAATTCTCACAAAATATTCTCTCTCTATGATTTTTGACTGTTTTTTTTTTGAGTTTGAAATTTAATCTCAAAACTTACACAACAACAAACATTAAATTTATTGGATATTTTGGTTAGCATTAGATACTCACAAAAAAAAAATACATATTAATCTCTATTTTTGCTATCTACTTTATGGCTTTGAATGATAAAAAAAAAATAATTTTTTATCTTTATTTACCTGACTTTGCATTGATATTAATGCAATATGGCATTTTAGTTTTCATGAAGAAAATTTTCAAGCTTTGGTGAACATTTTACAGGCAAAGAGCATGGTTGACTAGACTTAAAGCATGTAATTTGCCTAACAGGATGTCAATGTTTGCATGTAATAAATTATTTTTGAATAGCCTCATCTTATGTGATTTGAATTGTCTTTAAGGATTGCATTGATAGTTTTATTAATAAGGCAGGAGTTCTCAATACTTTAGTCTCAGAAAGTCAGCTAGTCTCAGTCAAAATTCATGCAAATCTCAGATCGTAGAACATTGATTTTCGGTTTTAAGATAGATTGCCTTGGATGGGCGTTAAAACTAGGCGCTCAAGATTTTGGAGGTATAGAAGTGTGTCGTAGAACATACCCGAATGGCACAATTCGGTTAATTGATCAAAAATCCAGCAACAAGCCGGTGTTGCTCTGGCATAAATCTGGATTTAAATCAAAGCTAGCATAATACCAGTGTCATGCCGGTTTTTTATTCGATTAACTGACTTGTGCTATTCGGGATAGTTTGTGAAGACATGACCTAGGTTAAGCCCATCAAAACCGATCACAGATTAAATTCTTCAGTTGCATCAATGTGACTCCCAGGAATACCCATTTCAGATGCATAAGATGATTCTGACAGTAAAAAAACTGATTTAATACTCAATCACCTTTTAAATGCACAAATTTTTGGCTAATTGGATTGAAATTGCATGAATTGTGTCCTTTAAAAAATAATATACATTGATATACATGACACTCTGCCAAAAATATGCTGAACATTGTAATTGACAGTTATTTGATTCAACATTGTAATTTTGAGGAATTTGGAAGTTTATTGTTGGTCAAGTATTAAGATTATTAAAATAAAAGACCAGATCCTGCTGAACATTTTCCCACTTAATCTAAGATTCCTAAATTCCAATAAGACAATTTCCATTCATTTGTTTACCTCCAAACCTGTCTGATTGCTTAACAATTACATAAATTACCCAAAACAATGTTTAACCAGACCCACAATCAGAACAATAACAATTTACCATTCAATTCAACCAAAAAATGAACAGTGCCAAAGTTTGAATAATTCTTTCTGAAATTATTGATAATTTATTAAATGAATGTAACAAGAATGAATGCCTAGAACATGAATATGTATACACAAGCAATTCATGCATAATAAACAACAGGAAGAAAACAATTTATGTAGAAGGAAAATCAAAGCCAATTAAGAAACGTCATTCATTTTAATATGTTTATTTTTTTATGTATTATCAATGCAATGAGCGAGTGGCAAGCAGCAAGCAGAAATAGATTGAATATGAAAAAAAAAAATTCTTGAATGTTTGTTTGTTTTGAAGGATAATTTTTTGTACTAGTTTAGATGTTTAGGTATACAAAGCAGTGTTGTTATCTTGGATGTTTGGCTTTGTCAAGACTCTGACATGACATTATCATTGATATAGACGAATCTTCAATTATATTTTAAAAAAAACTGGACCCCTGAGGTTAGATTATAAATTTTATCAGAGTTATTGAGTGTCTAGTCTTGTTACTTTGTATATAAAGATTATTTTGACTCAAATCAACTTTTTATGATCTAAGCTTAGATAAGATATTGTTTAAAAAATTGCAAAATCTTGAACACCTAGTTTAGTGATGGTCAACCCATAAGCAAGGAAAAAAATTCGGAAAATCCCACGAACCATTTGCTGTGTGCGGTTTCAATCATGGCCTCAATCGAGAGGTGCCGTGGTACAAAAAAGGTTGACCACCACTGACCTATTTGATTTATGTCTAAATTGAGTCTAGAAGGCCATAAAGGGGCTGTTCACTTATTACGTAACGCGAAAAAATGACTTCTTATACCCCCCCCCCCCCCCGTAACAAAATATGTATGAAAAAAAAAATTTCTTGTTTGAACCGTAACAAAATCTTAGACACCCCCCCCCCCCTCTCCCCCTAAAAGCGTTACGTAATAAGTGAATGGCCCTAAATGTCTATGATCATTATTGCTAAGTTACATAAATTAAGACGATTAGCTTTACTACCGAAGGATCTTAAGTAAGACAGTATCTGAGAAAATGAGTGTCTTGGTCAAGATGTTGTCTTAGTAAGATCCAGAATTGGAATCTTGGTGGAAACTTACTAAATGAAAGAACTTTAAAGTTCAACAAGATTTTTGCTTGTTACATCAAATATTAAAAATTGTTGAAAAATAGAAATTCACCCTGTCTCGAGCGGGAATCGAACCTTGCACATCTCGAATCCGGTCAAGTCCTCAGACCACTAAGCTATATGAATTTCTTTTTTTCAACAATTTTTAATATCTTGGTAGAAACTTAATCTTGAAAAACTGCAATTTAGCTACAAAAATACCTAAAATGTTTCACAATGTGGCTTCAAAAGGTTTAACACTTAATTTTGTCAGAATACACTCGAGTTTGTAACCTTAAATTTGCTTCTGATTAAGACTTAGCTTTTGATAAAACTAAAACGTTATATAAAGACTGATATAAACCATACCAAGCCTTGTCCAGACACTTTCTAGGTCAGACATAGTCTTCATAATTGCTTATGAACTAAGTTTAACCTATAAATTCAAGTTAACAACACTGCAATACATAATATGACGAATGATACATATCCAAAATTAAACTAGATAGGATATTAGATATATTAGACTTACACTGAGAGAAAAAAGTTGCTTTTTTCTTTAGGAAAAAAAAATAATGCAATTAAAAAAATGAAGCAAAAAATTTTCAATGGAAAAAAATTTGAACATTTTAGGACAATCGTATATTAGCGGAATTGGAACAGCCACGTACAACAGGTCCATCATCATCATACATATTGTCATCATCTGGTGGATTAGCATCATCAATTGTATCACAACCTCCTATTAGCTTATCAAATATATCAACAAATTTAGCGTCAAGTTACGGTCCAACAGCTGTATCACTCGGTGGACAATCTTGTGGAACAACATCATACTCGGCGACCACAACACATAATTTATCACCACTGCCAATTAGAGCAAATCAAATTAGTACCATGCCACCCCTATGTCAGGTGCTCAGAATTTGTTTTTTCAAATCTGATATGTTCGTTATTTTGATTATTTTGATTATAATTTATTATTATTATTTTTCACATTTATTTCATTATTGTTTTCCTTAATTTTTAATATTTCCGTGTCTCTATCTCTCTCTTTCTTTCTATTTCTATGTCTACTCTATGCCAGACTTTCTCTATTAATATGAATAAATATTTCCTTGTTGTTTCTAACTTTATGTCTTAATTGGTCTCTTTTTTGTACTTTTATAATTTTCATGCATTAACTTAACATTTATGAAATATATATTAATATGTATTAATTTCATATTTCGACGTATGGTTGTTTTGTATACGATTTAGAATTTTGTGCTGTGTGTTCTTAATCAAGAGAAATTAACATGAATATGTGGTCGATAAGGACTGGGAATTAGATGAAAATTATTAAGGATTTGATTTATAAATTTTGGAAGAGTAAGAGCTCTGAGAAGTTTTATAATTCTATATTGTGATGATGAAGTCTTTACTTTGAGCAAATTTCAGATTTATCAGTTTATTGCCGGGCTCAAGATGATATTAATCTGGAAACTAGGCTCATTTCTGATAAATGAAGTATCCAGGAAAGATTAAATGACACTCATATAATGCTTTTTGGTGTCAAATCTGCAGAAAATTAGCTTTATGGCTAGCTTTCAGTAAGCTTTGAGTTAAGTTAATTTCTTAGAGTGTTCCATCTCCATTATCCACTCGAAGTTAAGCTTCAGTTGTGTCTTTAAATTTCATTATTTCAAGAAAGCTCAGAAAAATGGATTTAAAACTTTGAAACTTGAACCCTGGTTTCCTTTGTTATTTCAAGAATTTTTGAGTCTTAAGAACTCTAGCTTCTACATATCTGAGTCATCTCTGCTTAAAAAGCATTGAATCTTAATTCAACTCAAAGTCCAACCTATCAAAAAAGCTAATAATTCCATCAGATAATCCATAAACATCAAATCCTAGTCAATATCACAATTTCCATGTCTTTACGAGACTTACATCCACCATGTTAATATAAGTGTTGATCAATTATTGATTATTTTTTTCACTTTTGTATATTTTATTTATTGTAAAGTAAAGAAGAAAATGTAAGCTGAAAGGAACCAGCAAAACAGCGAAATGAAATGATTTCGATTATTGATATTAGATAATTCAAGCCTTTTCTCATTTATTTAGTAAAATTCCATACTTTATTTTAGATAGAGTTCGTGTGTATTTCATTTTATTGTTGGCAAATTGGATATTTATAATTTTATTTTCCATTCTTATCCCCATTTTTGTTGTCAATATTGTTGTACTTTATCTTTATATGTAGATGTGTAGATATGATGATAAAATTTATTTTTATTATTTTATTGGCTATTCCTGTATAAATGAGATTTTTCATTCATTGTTCATTTTTTTCTTTCTTTGATTTGATATTTTAAAAAAAAATTATTGTGGAATATGAAGAGATTTTAGCGCTGATTTCGAGGATTGGGAGGTTGATTTGTGGAGGGTTAATGAAGGGAATGTTGATAGTTATATACTCTATTATTAGCTCTTGTATATTTAATTATCAAAAGCATTGATGTAGCTTAACATATTCCGGGTCATAAACACCAGGATCATCTCTTTCTTTTAAAGCCATCCTGAATAGCACAAAAGGATTAATCGATTAAAAATCCAATAACAATCTTGTTTAGCTCTGGCACCGTGCTGGGTTCGATTTGAGTCCAGCACAAGCGCGTAACCATTGGGGGGGGATTTGCGGGACAAATCTCCCGACGTTAACAGAAATTTCTTCATAAAATTTCACCCCCCCCCCCTCTTCAAATTCCTGGCAAGGCCCTTGGTCCAGCACCATGCCAAAGTCTCGCTAGCTTGTTGCCGGAATTAAATTCAATTAATCGACTTGTGATATTATGGCTTGGCATTTAATGGCTAGTATCTACTTGAAGTATAGTCAACTAGAGTATAGTCAAAAGACATATCAAACCTTAGACATCACCATCGCTTCACTCATAGTCCCATGTATTCATTTATAATAAGACTTAATGCCAGACCCCCATTCTAGACCTTTCATAGCAACTCCTTCAATTTCAAAAAGCCTAATCCAGTTCTTCAACTGATGATCATCTTTATCTGAATATTCAAAATATTAAAATCAAATTATTTTCTACATAACTTGATTTTTTTTTAATTTTCCCCCCCACTATTAACCCTCAACTTTATCGCAAGCTAGTAGCAACTTTCAAGCTAAATCCACCAAATATCACTTTAGTCACTCCTTAATCCAGTAAAAGAAGCGCTAATAAGCTCACCACTTTAAGTCCAACAACTTAATTTACATCATGTAAAATAATAATTTCAATGTTATTGTTTAATTTATTTTCAATGTCATGTTTTTTTCTAAGCCTTACTGAACTATACTTTTCCGAGTACGGAGAAAAATAAGAGAAAATACAAGTATCGCAGTAATTGTGATATTTATAAAATCTATAAATGTGTTTTCAGTGCTATAATTGTATTTATTTGTGTTGCTGACCATCCTGTACTAATAATTTTTTTTCTTCTTTTGTCTTCTTATTTCTCATGACTAAACTTCTAGAGCTCTACAATGCCCGTCCTGTCATTACATAATACATATACATTGCCATCAGGTTCAGCAAGTTATACATTAGGATTAAGTGGAGCTCCTGTTGCATCGTCATACACATATCCAACAGTCGGTCAATCAGCAACCGGCACAAGCGTTGGACTCAGTGGAGTCTTAGGTGGCACAACAGGCTTATCAAGCCTTGGTCTTGGTGGCACAGGTCATTCAAGTTTGTTAAGTACTGGCTTAGGCACAACCGGACTGAATTTAACTTCTACAAATCTTTTACCGAGCGATTTGGGTGGGACTAGTCGATTGACATCATTAGGATTAGGATATAATACATCATCATATTCAACGTACACAAATCCATTAATAACATCCGGTGCTATGAAATTAAAAACGTTAGATGATTTTGATATTGGCATCAATAGATATAATCGTGGTGGAACGCCATGCTCGCCAATTCCTGGTAGTTGGGGCTTGGACAGCTACTCGCGTCTGGAAGGTTGTAATCCTGGCTTTATGCATTCGCAAAGTCGTCCGTTGTCTCGTTTGGGTGCTTTAGATGATCTTGAAGGTGAGTCCATTTGTGATTATTAATCCACAAAATATCAAATTTTCAGTTTTTTTTTCTCCTTCACCAAAAAAAAAAATATCAAAAAAACTTAAAAAACAATTTTTTTGCTTGTAATTTTTGAGCTCTGCAAACTTTTATTAAACGTATTTTAATTTTAATTTGTTTGTTTAATTTTTATTTATTTTTGAAATCTCTAAACACGAACAAATTAATAATAAAATGGAACCAAGATTATTTTCAAGGTTTTGCAATGAGATTTTCTTACTTTTTGGGAGCAAAATTTTTGAAATTTTTACTTTTTGTGATTTTTCCAAGGAACTTGGGATGTTTAATTGTCTGTGTTTTCGGGTAGAATTTGAAATGAAATTCCAATAATTTTAACAATTCTTAAATGTAGTTAATCTTGCTTGAGGTCCTGCATCTACCCAAACAAGTCTATAATGCATGAAATATTGCATTTGAATTTTCCCATAATTGAATTTAATTACAAGTGAAACTAGTTAATAATTTATAGCTTCCCATAATCACTGTGTAAGTGATCAAACCTGTAAATTAGTTATTAACTTGACACATATTAAGTCATAGGACAAATCTAAAATATGATGTAGTTAAAAATTGATTCTGAGTTTCCTTAGACAATGGAACGTCTGGTAGCTCTATAATAAATTGTTAAAGACCCAGACATTCAGAAGTAAACAGTGATTCTCATCCTTTTTAAAACTTTAATACAAATAATTAGGAAATCAAATTTTTCAACACATCTTTAAGATCTCAGTGACTCATAATCATGTTCAAAAGCATACTTTAAGCAGCACTGGCATAGAGCAAACTGATTAGGTCCTTGATTTTCAATATTTTCTTCATTTTATTTCAATATAGATCTTTTAAAGTTTTGAATAAATTCTATTTTGGCCCTCGCCAATGTCTAGCTATGATTAAAGTATTGTCTGATGTGGAAGGGATTTTTCATAGTAATTTCTTGTTTATCTTGCCTCTCCAAATTAACTGCTACTCTTGAATAGCACAAGTCGGTTAATTGAATAGAAATCTGGCGCCAAGCTAGCATAATTCTGGCTCCGATTTAATTCCAGTAAAATGCCAGAGCCACACCGGCTTGGTGCTGGATTTCTAATCGATTAACCGAGTTTGGCCATTCGAGACTATTTTTAATCTAAACAGTGCTTGACAGAGCATAGTTTGAGAACCACTAAGGTCTGTTCACTTATGACGTCCAGAGAGGGGGGGTCAGCAAGAAAAGTACAAAAAAAATTCCTAGAAATCCATTGTTCTTTTTTAAAAAAAGGACCGTTAATTTTTGATATCAACGAACCTTAAACTGATTTCAGCATCAAAACTTTCACAAATTCAAGATTCTTTCAAAAAACCCGATACTTAATAGTTTTAACTTTAAAATTGAGATATAAATGCATCTCTACTTTATATTACAATTAAAAACTACTAAAGAACATTCAGGCAAACTTAACCTATCTCATGTCCAATCCCACCTTCTTTGGAACAATTACAATCCAAAATTCTTGTGTGATGTCCTTTCTTATTGCCAAATTTTGATACTAAAAAGCGATAATTTTTTTAATTTTTTTTTCAACAAATTGAACTTTGTAATTTTTGTATAAAAAATCAATTCCTTTTTTTACTCTAAAGCTTTTAATAACTTTTATTTTGATGTGCAAATTTTTTTCTTTCATTTTCCACAATTTTTTTAATTATTATTTGTTTATTTTTGCATTTGAGCTTCTTTTAAACTTAAAAAAATGAGTCAAAAAAAATCACACATGAAAATAGAAAAAAAATATTTGCGATTAAGGGTTCGAATTTTAAAGCTATAGAAAATCAAATTTTTCCATTTTAAGGTCGAACACACGGTTTAACATTGAATGGAAATGGTGAACCACAAGTTGATATGTTAGACATTCCGGGCAAAGGACGATGTTGCGTTTTTATGGCTAGATTTTCCTATGATCCACCAGAGTAAGAGAAAAATAAAAATTTATTTTAAAACAAAAACAAAAAAAAAATTCAATTTAAAATCTACATTTTAACATACATTATGCACGTCCAGTACCACACATATACTTACATTTTTACATAATACATACATACATTGCCTAATCTTACACAAATATTTTGGAAATATAAAATTATTTAATTAAATTATTGACAAATCAAAACTGTAATTTTTAAAATTACAGCGTTGAAGGATCAGAAGGAGAACTAGCTTTATGTGCTGGGGATTATCTGTTAGTGTGGGGAAATGGGGAGCCACAAAGTGGTTATTATGATGCCGAATTATTAGATGGTAGACGAGGTCTTGTACCAGCATCATTTGTGCAAAGATTAGTCGGTAAGTATTCATGAATTGATTCATGATGATGATAGGGATTTATGGCCCAGTTTTGACCACAAACCCCCAACTCCCCCTCTATTTTCCTTCCTCTATCTCTATATCTTATTAGATTATGTATATAAATAATGTGGATGGAATTATTAGCATAAATCGTTATTGTATGCTTAGATGTCTCTCTATCTTCCTCTATCTCTTTCGTATTGTTGTGATATTCAATGTTATTTTTATAGTTTTCATGAACATTTCCTCCTGTTTCACTTTGTTCTTCTTGCACAATGTTTCTCGCCAAAAAAAAAAAATATTAAAATAATAATAATAATAAATATTAGGATTAATAATGAAAATGCACATTTTATGATTATGACAAAAAAAATAATATTGTACTTAAAAAAAATAAGTAAATGCAGCTGTACTTATGATTATCATTTCTTATTTATTTCGTGAGATGTATCTTTACTTTTTGTTTGCATGTATTATCGCTTTATCATTATTTTATGTATTTTATGTCATCATTTAACCACACAATATGTATTCTTGAATGTGAGTCATGCGGGGTTGCAGTTCTGAGATTGAATTATAGTTCTTATAATTTATGTTTCGAGAATAGTGAGAGAATTTTATAGAATAGATAGTTCTAGTTTAGCTCAATGGAGTAGTCTGAATGAAGTTTGTCACTCAATCATTCACTATTCTTATAAGCTATGAGTCGGAATCTAATGTAAAACAAGTCGGGTTCGATGGGAATCGAACCCACGACCTCAGAAGAGGCGATCTCTGACCACTCGATCAGAGATCCTTGCCACTCGGCCAACGAGGTACTTATCTTACTTCGGCTATCCGTCATACACATATAACAAGTTCAACGCGAGCCCTATGCTCGGGCCTATCTACTACAGATATTCTCTTCGAGCCATATCTTCACATGAAACTTAATTTATTCAGGAAGATAATAATTAAGCCTTTCAAAAAACCATTAGAACCGCGACCCTAATTAGACTTTAAAATAAAAAAAATTAATCATAAAACTAATCTGTATTGCTGTAAACTGAGATTGAATACTTTTTCATTTTTAAAATCCTTCATTTCCTTTAAATGTGTTATGTTGATTGTACAATCTTGCCTCCTTTCGATTGGATATTCCAAAAATACGATTCCGATAACAATTTATTGCAAAATCCAATAATAAACTTATTTTTATTCTCTTTTTCCTTCTTCTTTTTATCCGAAAAAACAAACAATATGAAACATTTTTAGGTGATGATTTATTAGAATTCCATCAAGCTGTTGTGTCGACATTACGTGATGCCGATGACATTCCCATTCCATTAGATCCAGCGCCAATGATGCCACATCCCAATCAACATTCGATGATGATGCAACCTATTATGAATGATGAATTAGGGAGAATAAGTGATGTCGTCAATACTGATCAACCGTTGGATCCAGAGGATGAAATGGATCCAGGTATGGATGATTAATGAATCATAAGCTGGATGTTTGTGTTGTGCATATGGAGATATTGATGGTTTTTGTGATAAAATTGATTGTGATATCTTCTTTTCCCCATAACAATAATCTATATTTACATTTACATAATCAAAAAAATCCTACTTGTGCTGATGTAAACAAGAAATTGGTTGGAGATTTATTCAATGGATAAAGTGTTCAAGTGATAATACTTATTATTCAATCTCTGTATCCCTTATAAGAAGCGCTCTGATACTTCATCACCTTGAGATAATATTCAATGATGCAATAAGTTGTTACATCAAATCCTTTACTTTAATTAATTATAGCATTAGATTGTTTTATGAAGCTTTGCTGGAAATACATTTTAATCACATTCATATGATGTTATTTTAACATAATTTGATGTAATGTCCTTTGTTCAGCAGTTCTAAATTTGAATTGGGTGTCTCAATTGGTCTAATGGCAGTGTTATAAAGCTAACTTGGTGTTCTAACCTTACTAGAAACCAAAGCTAAGTAGGAATCCCACATCAAATGTAACTAGGATTCGAACCTTGCTAAAAATCAAATCTAACTGGCAATTGAACTTAACTAGAAACCAAAACTTACTAGAAACCAGAACTTACTAGAAACCAAAACTTACTAGAAACCAAAACTTACTAGAAACCAGAACTTACTAGAAACCAGAACTTACTAGAAACCAAAACTTACTAGAAACCAAAACTTACTAGAAACCAAAACTTACTAGAAACTAAAACTTACTAGAAACCAAAACTTACTAGAAACCAAAACTTACTAGAAACCAAAACTTACTAGAAACCAAAACTTACTAGAAACCAAAACTTACTAGAAACCAAAACTTACTAGAAACCAAAACTTACTAGAAACCAAAACTTACTAGAAACCAAAACTTACTAGAAACCAAAACTTACTAGAAACCAAAACTTACTAGAAACCAAAACTTACTAGAAACCAAAACTTACTAGAAACCAAAACTTACTAGAAACCAAAACTTACTAGAAACCAAAACTAACTTGAAACCAAAACTTACTAGAAACCAAAACTTACTAGAAACCAAAACTTACTAGAAACCAAAACTTACTAGAAACCAAAACTTACTAGAAACCAAAACTTACTAGAAACCAAAACTTACTAGAAACCAAAACTTACTAGAAACCAAAACTTACTAGAAACCAAAACTTACTAGAAACCAAAACTTACTAGAAACCAAAACTTACTAGAAACCAAAACTTACTAGAAACCAAAACTTACTAGAAACCATAACTTACTAGAAACCAAAACTTACTAGAAACCAAAACTTACTAGAAACCAAAACTTACTAGAAACCAAAACTTACTAGAAACCAGAACTTACTAGAAACCAAAACTTACTAGAAACCAAAACTTACTAGAAACCAGAACTTACTAGAAACCAGAACTTACTAGAAACCAAAACTTACTAGAAACCAAAACTTACTAGAAACCAAAACTTACTAGAAACTAAAACTTACTAGAAACCAAAACTTACTAGAAACCAAAACTTACTAGAAACCAAAACTTACTAGAAACCAAAACTTACTAGAAACCAAAACTTACTAGAAACCAAAACTTACTAGAAACCAAAACTTACTAGAAACCAAAACTTACTAGAAACCAAAACTTACTAGAAACCAAAACTTACTAGAAACCAAAACTTACTAGAAACCAAAACTTACTAGAAACCAAAACTTACTAGAAACCAAAACTTACTAGAAACCAAAACTTACTAGAAACCAAAACTAACTTGAAACCAAAACTTACTAGAAACCAAAACTTACTAGAAACCAAAACTTACTAGAAACCAAAACTTACTAGAAACCAAAACTTACTAGAAACCAAAACTTACTAGAAACCAAAACTTACTAGAAACCAAAACTTACTAGAAACCAAAACTTACTAGAAACCAAAACTTACTAGAAACCAAAACTTACTAGAAACCAAAACTTACTAGAAACCAAAACTTACTAGAAACCAAAACTTACTAGAAACCATAACTTACTAGAAACCAAAACTTACTAGAAACCAGAACTTACTAGAAACCAGAACTTACTAGAAACCAAAACTTACTAGAAACCAAAACTTACTAGAAACCAAAACTTACTAGAAACTAAAACTTACTAGAAACCAAAACTTACTAGAAACCAAAACTTACTAGAAACCAAAACTTACTAGAAACCAAAACTTACTAGAAACCAAAACTTACTAGAAACCAAAACTTACTAGAAACCAAAACTTACTAGAAACCAAAACTTACTAGAAACCAAAACTTACTAGAAACCAAAACTTACTAGAAACCAAAACTTACTAGAAACCAAAACTTACTAGAAACCAAAACTTACTAGAAACCAAAACTTACTAGAAACCAAAACTTACTAGAAACCAAAACTAACTTGAAACCAAAACTTACTAGAAACCAAAACTTACTAGAAACCAAAACTTACTAGAAACCAAAACTTACTAGAAACCAAAACTTACTAGAAACCAAAACTTACTAGAAACCAAAACTTACTAGAAACCAAAACTTACTAGAAACCAAAACTTACTAGAAACCAAAACTTACTAGAAACCAAAACTTACTAGAAACCAAAACTTACTAGAAACCAAAACTTACTAGAAACCAAAACTTACTAGAAACCAAAACTAACTTGAAACCAAAACTTACTAGAAACCAAAACTTACTAGAAACCAAAACTTACTAGAAACCAAAACTTACTAGAAACCAAAACTTACTAGAAACCAAAACTTACTAGAAACCAAAACTTACTAGAAACCAAAACTTACTAGAAACCAAAACTTACTAGAAACCAAAACTTACTAGAAACCAAAACTTACTAGAAACCAAAACTTACTAGAAACCAAAACTTACTAGAAACCAGAACTTACTAGAAACCAAAACTTACTAGAAACCAAAACTTACTAGAAACCAGAACTTACTAGAAACCAGAACTTACTAGAAACCAAAACTTACTAGAAACCAAAACTTACTAGAAACCAAAACTTACTAGAAACTAAAACTTACTAGAAACCAAAACTTACTAGAAACCAAAACTTACTAGAAACCAAAACTTACTAGAAACCAAAACTTACTAGAAACCAAAACTTACTAGAAACCAAAACTTACTAGAAACCAAAACTTACTAGAAACCAAAACTTACTAGAAACCAAAACTTACTAGAAACCAAAACTTACTAGAAACCAAAACTTACTAGAAACCAAAACTTACTAGAAACCAAAACTTACTAGAAACCAAAACTTACTAGAAACCAAAACTTACTAGAAACCAAAACTAACTTGAAACCAAAACTTACTAGAAACCAAAACTTACTAGAAACCAAAACTTACTAGAAACCAAAACTTACTAGAAACCAAAACTTACTAGAAACCAAAACTTACTAGAAACCAAAACTTACTAGAAACCAAAACTTACTAGAAACCAAAACTTACTAGAAACCAAAACTTACTAGAAACCAAAACTTACTAGAAACCAAAACTTACTAGAAACCAAAACTTACTAGAAACCAAAACTTACTAGAAACCATAACTTACTAGAAACCAAAACTTACTAGAAACCAAAACTTACTAGAAACCAAAACTTACTAGAAACCAAAACATAATTAGGAGTCGAACTTAATCCTTTGATGCTAAAGCTCTATAAACGGGTTTAAACCCACCAAATCTAATCATATATAAATGGATATAAATGTTACATCATCCATACAGCATGTCTCATAACAAATATCCTCTAAATGTTGACAATATATAATCTATAGATGTGCCATATAAGAACCCCATTTTTAAGATATGAACAAAATTAAGTATCACAAAAAAAATTGTTGTCATTTCTGATAAAAAATAAATTACAAATCACAAAAAAAAATCTTTTCATATAACACAACACAACATAAAAATTATGAATACGTGACAACAGCTGATTTTATGTTCTCCGATTTAGTTCCGGCACCACGTCATCTAACACTAGAAAGACAATTAAATAAGAGCGTACTTATTGGATGGAATCCAACGGATCAATATGGAAATCATCAAATTGAGAGTTATCATGTGTATGTAGATGGTAATTTAAAAGTTACAGTAAAAGCAGCTGAGAGGACTCGTGCATTAGTTGAAGGTGTTGATTGCAATCGGGTATGTTGCACATATGTCAATGGCATCCATTAAAAATATTATTAATATTTTCACATCCACTCCACAGCCTCATAGAGTAAGCGTTCGAAGTGTAACGGCAAATCGACGTACTTCACGAGATGCAGCATGCACAATGATAATAGGACGTGATGTTTCCCATTTGGGACCAACAAATGTAAAAGCTACAAATATAACTTGCTCAAGTGCAGTCATATCATGGCTTCCTGCCAATTCAAATCATCAACATGTAGTTTGTGTCAATAATGTTGAAGTTAGAACTCTTAAGCCAGGAGTTTATAGGCATACAATCACTGGTATTTATTTATCAATAATTGTTTGGGTGGATTTAGACTGAGGATTATGATACTTTGTAGGTTTATCACCTAGTACACAGTATAGAGTAACTGTTCGAGCGAAGCAATTAAGAGCACCGGGTCAACAACCACCAGCAGCACCCACAGGTCTGCCGCCTCACGAAGAGGCGCCTGGTGCATACACTGACTTTAGGACGTTAGCTAAAGGATTACCCGATCCTCCACAAGTAAGTAGCTTTGTTATTTATGAACATAACCTCAATATTAATGAAAATGTTTAAATAATTTTAGGAAATCCAAGTAGAACCCGGTCCACAAGATGGAACATTGTTAGTAACATGGTTACCAGTAAATAGGCCGCCAGCTTCAGGTCCAGTAACTGGCTATGCAGTTTATGCTGATGGAAAGAAGGTCACAGACGTAGACTCTCCAACCGGAGATCATGCTTTAATAGATATTACAAAATTAGTCGGAATTAATCCACAAGTTGTTACAGTTCGCACCAAATCTAGAGATGCTCAGTCTGCAGACAGTATGGCAACTCCTATACCCCGTAAGTTCAGCACTAACCCCCTTTAATGTTTGCTTTTTGAGAATTTACTTTAAAAAATTTAATTTTTTATTTCATAAAATCAAAAACATTTTTTTCATTGAGTTTTTTTTTTAAATTGTGTAGAGCGACATTTATTTTATTTTTGTATTTCATTTCTACTTTTTATTTTCCTGAAAACCCAAAAAACTGAAAAACTCACACCCCAACACTTGTTCAACAAAATTTTTGCAAATTACACACAAAATTTTTGACCAAAAAAAATTTAAATTCCTACCAAAAATTCATTCACACATACCAAAAAAAAAATATCAAAATTAAAAAAGTAATTGGCATGGGATATTACGATTCTAATGATTTTTATGACTATGATTACAATTACAATCAAGACGGCGTAAGAAATGCTGCACGAACGAGACAGAATCAAAAACAAACGCAACAATTACCGCAAAATCCTCAACAGCAAATGCAAATGCAACAGCAGAACATGAATATGAAAATGATGGGTCCGATGAATAAGCCAATGGATAATAAAATGGGTAACATGCAACAAATGCAGAATCTTCCAGGACAACCTAATAAACCAAATCAAATGGTAATTATTGGATTACAAATTTAATAATTTTTTTTTCAATTACTTTTAAGCTTATGTAAATTGATTTATTGTTTTATTGGCAATGAATCAATTTTATGTCTCCCACCTCCACTATTAGCCAAAAGCCCATTTTTGTCACATAAATATTTTATAAATCCTCTCACTTAAAAAATTATCATAATATAAATATTTAAAATGGAAATAATCTCTATCTCTCTTTGAATCTGCATCTATGCGAATGATTTTTTTGGGGAATTGGATGAAGTGCATTTTCTGTGCCTTAGTAAAGTGGAATCTTGGGTATCGAGCAATATATATGGGAATCTCTCAGTGTAAGAGATAAGCCTTTGTGAACGAGTGGTTAGACGACAGACCTAATATTTGTAACCCTCTTTGATGAGGACGTGGGTTCGATTCCCACAAGAGACCGTTTTCTCAATCATTATATATAGAGTGTTGTTGATATGACATGGATTCGCACAATGCTCACGACATTACTGTGCTGGTGGTCGATTTAAAGCCTCCTTACAAGTATTCTGAACTTATTGATTTGCGCAGTTATCATGCTCAGATCTAGATCTTTGTAGTTTAGATTGCAAAACTGGTTCTTCAAATTATAGCATATAGCTTGCCCTCAAAATCAAACCTAGTCACTATATCCCTATAAAATAAAGAAAATGCACTTAAGCCCACCCAAAAAATATGATCCACATCTGCAAATATTATGACAAACTTTATATGATATTTCCACTGTATATTTTCCAATCCCATACACAACCTATACTAAACTAACATAAAAAAATCATGTAATGCAAAATTATCTATATGTGTCGTATTCATTAACGTCATTTCGTTTCGAAGAAATCACAAAAACAAAATGTTAATAATCAACAACAAGTCGACAGTAGCGGAAGCATTCCATCAATAGAAATAACAAAAGAAAATTTAAACATGAATATGAATATGAATATAGAGTCTGGTGATTACGTTAGTGATGAGAGTGAATATCAAGAGGGAGGAAATGGCGGAAATAGCCGTCGTAATACAAACGGTCCTCCATCGCCATTGCCCTCATATTCTCAACATCATCATCAGTCACCACAGCATCAATATCATCAGCAAAATTCACCAGCTCAGGTTAGAGATGGAAATAAAAAAAAAAAATCCATGTGTTGCCAGAACGAAACAGTGTTCCTTGTTAATATACCCGTAATATTCTGCCTGCATCTGTTCTTCTCTCTTCTCAATCTATACGTATTATATTGCCGTGTATATTTGACTACTCTGTAATATTGTTCTCTATATATCTTCTCGTATGACATAACATTATCTCTTTGTTCTACTTCTTACTCAAAAGTTTTTTTCTTCTTGATACCTTTCTCTCTTTATATAATACACACACATGTACATGATGTTTTCTCTATCAGCTCTTACTCTCTCTTTCTCTTTCTTTCTATTTTTCATCTCTCTCTTTCATACCCGTTGATGTCATCTTCTTGTTGCACCCTCTTTTACTTAACTTTTCGTTAACTTTCTATCATAAAATACTTCCTTAATGATGATAAATATATCAAGGTGTATGCACTTAGTTATTTTAGAGGTATTGGACTGTTTATCCTTACCAAAATGATATAGGGAAGCTTCTGAGTTTGATAGTAAAAGATTACTTTAACCTACCCTCAATACAGAGATGTAGCGGATAATAAGAATCGACGAAAGGAATCCTCAGTCAACCATATAGACCAGTGGTGCTCAACTATTTTTGTGCCACGGCACCTTTAGTGCTAAGCCATGTCCAAAACTGCACACAGCATAAAATATCCCAAAATTTTTCATGGTACATTGGTGTCCCGTGGCACCATGAGTCGACCATCACTGATATGTTCCAATTGTCCATAATTCTTTTACATGACACTTGAAACAATCTTTATTACTGACTCAATATCCATTCGCTATATTTTTACTGAACCTAATAATTCACCACTGAATGGATAAAAACATCCCAAACTTATTAAGCAACAAACCTTCCTCAATAAGTGCATACACCTTGTTTTACTAAATCATTCCTTCTTTCTTTCATTTCGCTATATTTCTGATTTACAGTTTGATGAGTTGATACAAAAAAAATGTCTTAGTTTTGGATCTGTTGTTTGATGGCATTCATCTCTTTTAGATTTACTGCAAGTTATTTGGAGAAATGAAAGCATATAAAACATTTCGAATAGCACAATGGTTTTGTTATTTCATGTCTGCCTTTTGCTATTAGAAATTGTTTCTTTCCAGTGTAAAATATTATCATTGTTTATACTGAAATCATTACTACTTCATTGTTCCACAATTTCATTGACTCTGTGTCTGGATTGAAATTCTGTTATTTTGACAATTGAGGGTGATGGCTTGGGGTACATCCAAAAGCACATAGTATGGTCTACCCTAATTAGCTCATCCTCAATTATCAAAAATCTTAATCAACTCCAGACCAGTCGTGTCCACTTGAAGATCGATCATTCTCTTCATGCATACGAACTATTCTATACACTCTTAACAAAATATTCCTTCAGTAACATAACATTGCTATCACATGCATACATTACTACCTATTAAGAATAAGAAGTTGTATTAAAAATGTATTGTAAAATGATTATAAGATAAATTAGTTAAATTGCACACAAATCATGTCTATAAACAGAATTAAAGCTCATTTGAATCACTTTAATAACATTTATATCCATATTATCCTTTTAGATGCAAGGTGGAATGCAAGGAATGCAAGGAAACATGCAAGGGATGCAAAGTGGCATGCAGGGACCCATGCAAGGACCAATGCAAGGAAATATGCAACAAAACATGCAAGGAAATATGCAGCAAAACATGCAAGGTCAAATGCAAGGCAATATGCAGCAAAATCAAATGCAAGGTAACATGCAAAGTGGACCAATGCAAAATCAAATGGGAATGCAAGGTGGTCCGATGGGTATGCAACCGGGAATGCAGCCAGGCATGCAAGGACGACCCCGACCACAAAATCCAAATCAAATGAATCAAAGTCGTATGCCAATGCAGCCTGGACAGCCAGGACAACCGCAAAATATTCGTGGACCAATGTCAAATCAACAAAATCCACAGCAGAGAAAGTTACGTTATTTCTTAGCATTATTCGATTATGATCCTATCACCATGAGCCCCAATCCAGAAAGCTGTGAAGAAGAATTGCCTTTCCGAGAAGGAGACACAATAAAAGTAAGTCGTACTGAACTTAGTTCCACAAACTTTACAAATAAACTCTCAATTTTAGGTATACGGTGATAAGGATCCAGATGGATTCTATTGGGGTGAACTGCGTGGACGTCGAGGCTATGTGCCACACAACATGGTGCAAGAAATCGAAGATGGTGCTGTTGGACATACTGGTCCACGTCAACCGAGTGTTCGTGGAATAAGTAGAGATAGATGGGGTGATATATATGCAAACATGCCAGTTCGTAGGATGGTTGCATTATATGATTATGATCCCCAAGAACTTAGTCCAAATGTAGATGCCGAGGTGAGGCCCTAATCCCAAACTAGCAGAACTGCATGTCATTAATTTTTATGTCATAGTTTGTAGCTAGTAGACTTTAATTTGATAGAATTTAAATCTATCTCGTAGAATTTGTTGTAGATTAGTTGTTATTAACGAAGTCACTCTACCCGCTTTGTTTTTGTTTTTTTTTGTCTATTTCGACCCAACTGCAGGTGGAATTGAGTTTTCAAACCGGACAAGTCATCCTCGTTTATGGCGATATGGATGAGGATGGTTTTTATATGGGTGAATTAGATGGAATTCGTGGACTGGTTCCATCGAATTTCCTCGCTGAGTCCGATGGACACAATCAGGGTGGTCCAACAGCATCGAGTGTCGCTCAACGAAGCCTCAATAATAGAGGACGTGGAGGTATGATGACTGGCCCAGGAGCACGAGGACCACCACCACCACCACGTGATAATATGATGGGCGGAATGGGTCCACGAAAAGGTATGAATATATGTTGCTAGATTCATGTAAAAATCTTTTTATTATTGAATTATTGCCAAAAAAATAATACTAATGCGAAATTGTGGTTGAAATTATTGAGACAATTTGAGATACAAATTAAATAATCCAAAAAAATAATATACAAAAAATACAGCTCTTACAATCCGAAATTAAATTAACATTTTAATGTAGTAAAATTAAATTTTTTCCCTTTTTTTTTCGAAAAGAAAATCTACAAAAAAAAATTTATTTACCTTAAAAACATCTTTTAATTCTTTGTATATATACTTACCTAACCTATAAATATATATATGTACTCTAGATAATTATGAGCTTTCTATCATTGAGGTAAAAAAAACACTGAACAAATTTTTACTCTACTATCTACTCTATCTCGTCTCTATAATCATTTATTTTCCTTCCTCTCTCACTCTCTCAACATTTAATATATATTTTTTTTAAAAAAAAATCTTCGATAAATCTAATTTTTAATTCATATTGCATATTCCAATATTTTTATAAATTTTATTTTTCAGTAATACCTCAATCCATTCATTATACACATACATAGATGACTTATTATTTGTGAAATTTTAATTGCCTTTTGATTGAATTTAGTTTGTTTTTTTGTCAATCACACCACGTTAAAGTTAATTTTGGTTTTTTTTGAGAAAAATGAAAATAGGAATTAAGTTGATGAATTTTGACCTTAGTTTCACTCATAAATACAAACTTTTTTGATTTTTTTGAACTAGAAATTAGTGATTTATTTCCTAATGGGATGTAATTTCCTTTGTTGAGTAGGGTTTATTGTTGGATATTTGAGAAGAATTCAGAGAATTGAGGGAGATGTTTGGTTTTAGCGTTTCAACCTCCATAGAATGATTCTAATTTCTTACTTTATTAGAAACACTTGAAAATTTCAATTCCAAAACTTTAAAATTTTTTTAATAAATATGCTGACTTGTGTACGACTTGATCATTTTGATCAGCCTTTCGGGAAACGAGTTAAAAAAAGCTTTCAGTCTGGCATTCAGAACCAGATTTTCCAAATAATTGTTTTCCAAAAAAATCCGTTCCAACAAAAAATGCTCCCCCTTCAGAACTACATGAACACAGCACCACGCCGTGTACCTTTCGGGGATTTGTTGGAGGTAGCTTCGATGTAAAATTAATGATAAAACTAAAAAGATTGTTAAAAACAGATTTATAGTTTAAAACAAAGCTCGAAGTCGATGAAATTTTGTATGGAGTAAAATCGAATCGGAGTCGTATCCGCCATACAAAATCGATGAAAATCTCAGGTCGCATTCGAGGTCTGGTTTAAAATAACATCTTGTCAAATTGATAAACAGCCATTAAAAAAGCTCAATTTTAAGCAACAAGTATGCAATCAGAAATCGTAAGAGCGAGGGTTTGATTCCCAATAAATACAAATTATCATTATCACACCGAAATATGTTTTTTTTTATTATTTTGTTTCGTCTATATGTTAAAAAAGGACAAGAAAACCTCTCAAATATCCAACAAAACCACACTTTCAAAAATTAGACAACCTCCTAACCAAATTATACCTTCCTTATAATTTCCTAATAATCAAAAAACTGATTTTTAACCTCTTCTTCCTCTTATGGACTTATCAAATCCAATAGTTTGTGACTTTGTGTTTGTCTTTATAAGTTCTTCCTACTTTTTTTAAAATATGAGAGAATTGTATTTTCTTACATCCTCTTAAAAATAAATAAATATATTTTCTTATAAGTGTATTTTCAGTAAACTCGAATAGAATATTTTTGATTTCTTTTCATTTTTACATTAATAGGTTTGATCTATATTAGAAGATAAAGTTATGATTTGAATTTGTAACTTTTTCATTGTCCTTTAATTTTTTTGAAATAATTATTGAAATTGTCACCAATTTTGTGGAAATCGAATGTGGAATAAGTTGAGTTGGGTAGGAAAATTAAAAGTTTTGAAAAGCTTCTTAATATCGATTGTGATCCATGACCTCCTTTAGCGAAGGTTCTTAATTGGTTAAATTAGATCATTTTCTGACAATTGGCTTAAATTTTGTCTCCAGAAAGTAGGAAATAACCCAATTAAAGAGTTTTTGCATGAATAATTGATGACTAGAGTGATTTAAGGGGCGTAAAACTATGAAATTGTATTTTTTAATCCAAGAACGCATATTTGAGGTTTTAAATCAATACTTTACCAGTCTCGGAAGCTAGAAAATCATAGAATAACATAATTTTAATAAAAGTTGACCTTGAAATATTTAAAAACCAAAAAAAAAAAAATCTGAAATTTCAATAAAATAAACCTGGCAATATAAAAATATTCAAGAATGTTAAAACAAGATACTTTAATTCAAAATTCTTATCTCGAGTTTAAATATCTCAAATTCACCATCAAAAAGAAAAAGAGAACGTCTGCTATCAAAAATCAATACAAGCCAAACCCTTCGTCCATAAAACATATCAATTGCCAACACGTGACGATATCTCAATTTATTCTACATTCGTTCCACATTTTATTTTTTCCATCCTATTTTTCATTCCTAAATATTTTATTTTTCATATTATGAACTTTTCTGAGTCAATCAAGCTTTAAATGTTCAGTGTGTGCGCACATTATGAATACTTTAAAAGCTCTATTTTTCCTTTTATTTCTTAATAAATATAAATGATGAATGAATGAAACGTTATTTTTGAATGTTTTATATAATATTTACTTAAAAATTGACTTTAAGCGCCTTTTGTTTGATTATTTGAAATTTATTTTTATTCCTTTTATGATTTTGACGCAAATATTTTCTTATTATTACAAAAACTAGGAATCGTATTTGGATTTTGTTTTGTTTTTGTTGAAATATTTAAATATGATATGAAAGCATCACCACTTTTTTTGTTGAATTGAATGAATATTGAAAATGATTTGAAAAGCAAAATTATCATTTGAGGACATTCTTGCAGACAATTAGGTTTATGGATTCACTATTGACCATTCTTATACTGACATTCATTCGAAAGTAAAGTCTAAGATTAAGTTAAATAATTAGACATAGACTTTTTGTGCCCTTTTAGTTGTGCTTGTCAAGAAAATTCAATGAACTTTGCGTTTTTTCCTATTTAAATGTTGTAAGCATTTTGCTAGGGTTCCTTGTTATGCCAACTTTACTATATGAAATGATCCCTCAACACAAACTCTTTCAGAATCCGATTCTGCTACTATTAAGTACTCATCACATCCCTATCTTTTTGTAACCCACTTCCCAAAGATATCATCTAACCTACTCCCACTAAGATTCCCTCTTGGCTACGCCCTAAAATAATTGAATTCACAAATTGCTTCACACAGCTCCGGTAAAAGAGTCGGTGAGTCAGGGAACTAAGTGTTAAGCTCAATCACAATCTAGACCAGTGTTGTCCAAACTTTATGAGCCACGCATCAACTAAGGGGTAAACCATGACTAGGCTGACCATCTGCTTGGTTTTTCAGAGGAAAGTCCTCCATTTTTTTTTGTTTATTTTACAAAATTATTTTGTTCTAATTTGTCCAGATAACAAATAAAATTGGTAGACACGTGTTTTACGCATCAATCATGTGGATCGTGTCATTACAATACACACATGTGTCGCAGTACACAGTTTGGACAACACTGATCTAGACTATCTTTAATAGAAATACAGTTCCTCAAGCTAATCTAGGATAAGGGACGTAGTTTTTCAGAAAAAAAAATTCTTACAAATATTTTTCAATGGGGGAGGGGGGCGTAGAACCTCTTGCCCCCTCTGAGCAACGCTCCCGTCTAGCATGACTTAGTCTTACAACTAGTAAAAATAGAAAACCTCAAAAAATTCCAAAATGTTCGATTACAGCAAGAATGCACTCAAGTCATCAAAAAGATGACAAAATTGATTTGTTTGAAATTTTTCTCATTTCCATAATTTATGATTATTGATGTATTTCTTATAATTTTCCTAAAATTCATGTAAATTTGTCTTCACTTCTATTAGTCTTTCGTTATAATTTTGATTGATCCACTGACTATAAAATTTACTTTTTTTTATAATTTTTGATCGATGAATAAATGAGAAAGTAAATCTTTTTAGCTCATATTTTTTTCTTATTGAGAAGATCGAAACAGAAATAAAATGAGAATAAAAAGTCCTCAAAAAGAAAGTTAATAAGAGAAAGAAAAATATGAGAAATGAGATAAGAATGTAGCTTTAGCGCCAAAACAAAAAAAAAGAATGAAAATGATGAGAAAAAAAATTATTCTGCTCTGCTGTGTCGAGTCTTTATGTTATTTGTTGCTAGATGCTCACCCTACTTCCCCTTCTATACTTTTAGACAACACGGGCCACCCTGCCCCCGATCATCAAATGCAGGTAACTAAACTTTTTAACCACGTACGTAAAAAGTTTAAAAAATTACGTTCACAAAAAAAATATAAGAAAGAAGACATTTGTTCTTGTATCGTTTTTCGTTACTTTTTTACTTTTTTAAGTTCCTTTTTATGTTCAATTTATTTTATGTTATTTCATTTTTTTATCATTTTTTTTCACTCATTATTCACTAGCGGAACGTGCTTAATTTACTTAGTTTTTTTAAATTCTTCTCTTTACAAATTTATTTTTGTCATAAATAGCATAAAAAAATCACATAAAACTCACATTAAACAATTCACCTTCAAATTACCAAAAGGCTCAGGTGCTTCTTAGGAAATTGATAAAATTATGATTACTTCTTGGTCAAATTTCAAATTTTTAAAATTAATTTAATTGAAAAATGTTGAAAATAAAAAGTTTTTGTTATCAACACTTAAATTTGTTTCAAATTTTGGATTTTTTTGAACCTTTAAAAATTTGATTTTTTTCAAAAATTTTGAAGATTTTTAAAATTTTGAATGTTTTTAAAATTTCAAAATAAAAAAAAATCAATTGTATCCAAATTTTAAAACATAATTTTCATGATAGTTTTTGAGATTTTTAAACTCTTGGTTTCAAAACTTTTGAAGACTTTTAAATTCTAATTTGAAAAATTTTAAAAATTCCAAAAAAAACTTCCAAATTTATCAAATTCTTAATTAGTGTCCAAGCCTTGCAAATTACTTATCATATAAATTCATTTTCAATGGAACAATTAGGCTCGTGTATAACTTATTCCTTCACTTTTGCAAGTTATTGCTAATTTTCTATATACAAAAAAAATCGTTTCAAGTTGCTTGTCCTGGCTTAAAATTTACATTTTATTTTCGAAACAAAAAAAAATTCACTGACTGAAATTATAATTTTTGTTTTCTGAATTAAAAAAGTTTTTTTGAGTAAATTTCTTTTAATAAATATTTAACTTAGAGTTACTGAATTTTAGGCAGGAAATTTTTTTAAAAATATATTCATTTTTCATTAAATATGTTGAGGTTATGGTTTTGGAAATGATGAAATTTGTGTGCGTGCAATTTTTGACTCAAGAAGTTATTTTGAGTTTAAACTTAGTTAAAATTAGATCAAATAGACTAGAAATTATGAAGAATTATTGAAATAGATTTGAGAAACTCAATTTTTTACTTCTTATTTTCCCTTTCTTCTTCTCCTGCTTTCTTGCTTTCTTTGATCTCTAGCTTATTCAACTTTAATGCTCAGATATTCTAGAGCAGTGATGACAATAAATCACACGAACCGTGCTCCGTGACACATAAAAGTTTGTCCAACACTGTTTTAGAGAGAATAAATATAGATTTTTGAACAATCTGCTCAGAAGTGTTCGATTCTTACCCTTTCTTGAAATGTTCTTGCCGAGAGTTATTGACTTTTTCAAATCTAACATTCAGAGACTTTCCTGTAGAAACGGTTTAAGACTTTATTGTCTTTCTTGTAACTTAAAGAAGTTTTTTCTGATCAGTTTTGTTGTCTTCAAATCCTTTACTTAAAAACGTTCAAACAAATCAATTCTAATTCTTAATTCTCATCTTAAACTGGCTGCAACAATAACAAATTACATTTCTAATGAAAGGATACGAACAAAAGAGTTCTACCCAAGATTTTTTTCGTACCATTTATTTGGTAATTCACTTCACGTATTCTTTAGCTTATTTTCATCAACACTTGCACTTCAAACTTGCTTTCACAATAATTAATTGCAATTACATTTCAATCACATGTAATCCAATGATCCATTATAATCTGAATTTAATCAAAATATCAAATAAACTTGTTTTCCTATTTTCCAATTTCTTCTGAACTGCTCTATTAATCCTTCAATAATTTTTAACTAGATTATCAAAGATTATTCCAATTAATCGGAATTTTGATTTTACTTTCCGATCACTTTTCATTTTCCATGAGTAGACATTATAAAGTCAAAATTGCATGCTTGAAGATTTTTCATTTAAATAAAGAAATTTTCAAGCCAAAACCTCAACATTTAGTAAAAAAGTTTTAAAGTTAATTCTGATGATGCGCGTAGTTTTGTTTCATTTTATATAATAAATGTTTATTAGTCATCTTAATGGCTTTTGATTCCAAGTCAAAGTATTTATATTCCTATTAATCCCAGTTAAAATATCAAAAAAATTGTGGCTTTTTACAAATTCCGTGACATTCAAGTATTTTAGATTTTGTGCTGCATTCATCGAAAGCTCTTTTATAGTTTCTTTATTTTTAATCCCTGATATTGCATTTATTTTCCCTCCAAAAAAACAAGTATCCATTATCATTATCAATTTTTATGCATCCTTGTCATGCTAATTGAAAGATCATTAAGAACCTTTTGCCTACATGAGACTCCATGCAAAAGTAAAACTTTAAATTGTTTATTATCTTATCATGCTCGAAGGGGGTGGGATGAAAATAATAGTTTTGGATGTCCGATTTCGGGTAGAATTGGTTCATATTTACTAGATTTAGATGAATTTTTGGAACTATAATTGGTTGAGAAAATCAGATTTGGATGAAAATAAAATAAAAATAAAAATTTGTTCCAAAACAATTAATTATTGAGATTAAGGATGAATAGATGATCGATTGTCTTTTTCCTAAAACTTAAATCTAATGTTTTTTGAGAATTTCCAAAGAATTTTAGTGTTGAAACCTAAAACAATTAAGCAAACAATTAGAATCAAGCGATTCAAGAAGACAAACATATTTTTTTAAATATAAGTTAAAACCTAAGCAAACATCAAACTATTATTAAGCTATGAATATGTTTACAATCTGATTGAACTTTCAGAAGACGGTCATCTACGAATTTAATTTTTTTGTTTAAAAATCAAGCTTTTTTATCATGAAACCAATGTAATAAAACTGTTCAATTAGTTTCTCGTGGAATTTCATCAGTTTTCCAGAAAAATTTTTGTTTTCTTTAGCTACGAAGACTTCGGACAAATGCTGACTAGTTTATTATTAAATTTATGGTCAAGAGACTCTTGAGAAACTCAAAAGTCTTTGAAGTTTTGATAATTTTTAAGTTTGAAGCTAGTTTCAAGTAAATATGGATTTATTCTAACCAACTTGGACATTAGGGATGGTTGTAAGCAAGCCCCATTTTGAATTCATTTCCATGCCATCAATTTATTCCATATTTTGAAGATTTCATAGTTCAAAATCTCCAAAATAAGTTGAATAACTATTCAAAAATTATTAGATTCATCACAAAATTACTCTTAGCGACATCCACTCCCTTAAAAAATGCAAAATTTTCATCTCCCCCCATGTATTAATCCGAAATTTCATATGAAAATATTTTAATATCTTTAATTGTTGAATGACACTCTGAATGAATATAAATATATATAATACACAAATCTCAATTATTCTTACTTAACTATATATATTTAAATTAATTATTTTTAATTCTAATTATGTTGAATTTTTGTGTACATAAAAAAATCCGCGCTTTTTGAAAGCTTTATTCCTAAAGTTTTTTAATCCATTAATTTCTTTTAATTACATCTCTTATTTTACTTTAATTTCATTTAAGTAACAAATAATATAAAAATTAAAAAAAAAAATTTTATGAACAAGACAAAGTTTTTTAATAAAAAAGATGATTTTTCATGTTCGGGCAGGGAAGTCTATGTTTTCTGAAGATCATCTGGATTACTGGACATACTTTTTGTCTCTCCTGCAAAAATTATTTTCACAAATTCTTCTGTTTTTTCTCTCTCTCCACCAAAAAAATAAATATTGATTGTTAATGTAATTAAGTGTTATTTTTCTTTTGAATAAGATATGCAAAAAAAAAATCTTTAATTTTAAATCTCTCTCATATATATTTGCACATGAAGTTTATGGCTTGTTAGATATTAATTTATTAAAGTATAATTTCTTATTCTAACTTCCGTTGTACAAACTAGCTTCGTTTGATGATATTTAGATTTAGTATCTTTTTTTATGTTTGATGTTGTTCTAATGATATGAGTTTTCTATTATTAGAATTTATTATTTTTACTTTTATCTTTTCAGAGGTTGAAATTGTGAAGTTCCGATGTTTAAGAAACAGATTTTTCTTGGCAAATTAAGGCTAGGTTGTGAAACTGATCAATCATGAGTTATTTAAAATCAAGTGTGCGTCCTTTGAATAATATTCTGGAAGAGAATATATAAATTTTTGACAGAATTGTTTCATTTTCGGACGAAAAATCCATATTTTGCTAGTATATTCTGGCTTTTTGTCAAAAAACAATGACTTTAGATTCCTAACAGAAGAATCAACTTCAAGTGAGAACTAAATGAGAAAACAGTCAATTCTGATCTTAAATTTGATTTGAAATTAAGAATACATCTCGGAAATGAAAAGCAATTCACCAATATTTTGATTGGCTAAAATTCCTCAAAATAAACAATTTCTAATTATCAAACTGAACTCCAAATAAGATCTAAATTTCAAAATAACTCCAATCAAAAACAATTTATTAATTTGAAAACAATTTCTCAAAAACTAGTCGATTTCAACCTCTGAATCAATAAATTAATGAATGTTGTTACAAGTGTGTGTTTGCCAGGTCAATGTCGTAGTCTTATTGAATCTAATTAGCATTGTTGTAAGGTTAATAGCCAGCTAATGGATGCATCTTTAAATTCAAAAATTGAAAGAATTTTCTTCCTAAATCTTAGTGCTATGAACTTTATTTCTTTCTTTATTTTAATTCTATTCAACATAAAACCTCTCTATCTCTATCTCTCTCTATTCTACATTTATTTTTCATTTAGTTTAATTTTTTTTAATAACAGAAAATTAAAATATATATGAATATAATTCAGTCAGTTTAGATGTTATACACAGACCAAAAAAATCACATTTATTCTTTAGTCAGTTCTTTTTTGCTAATGAGTTTTATTTACTTGATTAGTTTTACTATCTTTAATTATCTTTAATTTCTTTATATATCAACAAAGTTTAATATGTTCAACAATAGAAACGAACTTTAAATTTAATCATTTTGATAGGCAAAAATAACATAATTATTTATTAAAATAAAGAAATTCTCGAGGAATACAAAAGATTTTGAGAGGTATTGATGCAGATATAGGATAAGTTTTAGCTTAATTGAAAGATTTATGTAAACTTTTCAAATTGATCAACTGTAATAAAAGCTAGCAGCTCATAGTGAATTAGTAGTTGCCCTTCTAAGATCTTTCTATGAATTATCAATCTTTTTAGTTGAATCTATCAGAAAATTCAAAATTCAAAAACAGGATCTTATTATTTTTTGCTAAAATTCGTAACCAAACCCAAAGAAGTGGTCTTATTTCGTTGACCATTATTTAAACGGCTCTTTAATCCATTATTTAGCATTTCAATACCAAATGGCTATAAATTTGATGCAGTTATTATGAGTTCGAATCCTTAAAAATCGAACTAATATTGAATCTTCATAATACAAACACAAATAGGATCAGATCTGTTAAATCTTTAATTTGAATCTTTATTCAGCAAAAATTAACTCGACTAGGTTCAAGTCTTACATATGAGCTACTCTAATGTTTCCAGATCACTAATATTCTAAGATTTTGAAGATTGCACAAGAAGAACAACCAAAACTTTTAACTGTAAAATATAATCAAGATCCAGAATATCAAAAAACCAATACTAATGCAAAATCTTTCGTATTCTTCGAGATGAAGGATGTTGAATTTATTTCATTTCTTACAACATTCTTTTTCTTTCATTAGGAAACTCAGTGTTGTGCTATTTCTATCATATATATTCTTACATGTACCATTCTATATAACTACATCAAAAAAATTCTTTAAAAATTCTATTAGAAATCTTTTACATTAATCATTAGAAAAAATTCTATTTCTAAGCTGAATATATACAAAAAAAAAAATTTCTTTTCCGATAGGGATTTTAATAACATTATCCATAGCATATAGCGCAACAGTGTAGTTTTTATATTTAACCAAAACATTTATTTAATTTAAAAATTATGGAAAATGTAAGTATATATTTACAAAGAATCTACCAACTAATTATAGGGGATGCAACCCGCTGGTAGTATGCAAGCCCGAACGCCTCAACAGCAACCACAACCGAACAATTTGATGGGACCCAATCGAACGCCACAACAGGCACCAAATCAGCAAGCAAATATGATGGGTCCAAATAGAAATCAACAACAACCTCAAACACAGCAACAACAGCAACAGCAGCAGCAACAACAACAAACTATGGGGGCCAATTCAATGATGCAGACACCACAACAACAGCAGCAACCTGGTATGGGAATTATGGGAATGGGAGGTCCCCAACAAAATCAACAACAAAACCAACAACAACAAAATAATATGATGAATATGAGAGGCGGCCCTGCAAATAGCATGAATAATATGAACAATATGAATAATAATATGAACAACATGCAACAACCACCCATAACGACGTCACAATCAACGGGACTATTTTCATCATCACTATTTAGTGGTCCAGCGAATGCTGCCGGATCAATGTTTGGTAGTAATCGAGGTCCACAAATGGGCCAACAGCCAAATCAACAACAAAGTCCCTTCGGACAGCAACCAGCTCAACCTGGTCAGCCAGGCATGAATCAACCGGGTCAACCGAGTATGTTGCAAAAATTGGGTGATATGGCAAGTGCCGCGCCAGGTGGTGATATGTTATCAAAAGGCAAAGAATTAATATTTATGAAATTTGGTCTGGGCGGAAAATAACCCATACCATCGATACAATTTAGTTTATCAAATTATCAACTAGTCATCATTCAAATTACTTGTTTAAATAACTACTATCTTTAAAGAAACTAAGGGACGGATGGAGTGGCAACAACCAATAATGATAAAAAAAGTTAATTTATTGAAAATTAAAAAAAAGGAGAATTATTATTATTAGCATAAAAAGTTATTACATTGATAATAAATAATGGTGATTTGGGGGTTTGGTGTTGTTGAGACTTTCGGGGTGTAAGGTGATTATTTTTTGAAGATTTGTCAATATATAGTGGGTTTTAAGATGTTGACATGAGGAAATAGAGTCATAGAACCTAAATTTATTGAAATGGAATTGGAATAGAATTAAATTATTGTAAAAATGACTATATCACTCGAATATACTAGAGCAGACCCTAATAATTGGTCGAGACTAGTGCAATGACTCAGTTCCTCTTGTCTCCATATCTTAAGTCTGCTAATTTCACAAAACTAGTGTCAAACTTGATTAATTTCAAAAATTAAACAATATAGACATAAACTTTGTAAAAAATATTGACTAGTTGTTCAAGAAATGCATCTTACACTCCCTTAGTTCCTCACAACACTCCCTCAAACAACCAATAATGATAATAATGGTAAAAATATTCAAAACATAGACTTTATCTATCAATTTAAAGAAAAAGAAGTGAACTATCAAAAAAAAAGTGAAAAAAGAAAAAAAAATGCAGACGACTTGTAATATATTATACATTTAATGACCTTATAACATAAACTAATATATAATAAAATAAATAATAAATTAATAAATGATTGGTAACTACTGTAATATAGTATTATTTAATGTTATGATAATGATAAAATAACTAGTTACGATAACAAAATAATAAATAAATAAAATAAATAAATTCTTCTTTAAAAACAAAAGTAAAAGAACAAGAACCAGAGGTAAATATTCGTTTATATAGTAACACATTGATATATAAACATTAATGTACAATAATCGTTAAAATAAAACTAATTTTTCCTTCGAGACAAAAAAAATAATAATTGAACTAACGTTAAATGATTTATACATACATATATATAAAGATACTTTACATATATCCTATTATTGGGGTTGTGGTGGGAGTCTCTTGAGTTTGGGAGAAGTTTGTGGACTTGTATTTCAAATTTCAATTACAAAAACTTAAATCTAGTTTTTAATAAGGTCTAAAAAATTCAAAAGTTGGAGTCTGAGTGCAAAATCTTTTCGTAAATCTAGTTGTCAACTTTATTTTTACTACGAAACTTACTCTAATACAAAATTGATCGATTTAACTTAATAATGAACCTTAATCAACAAATAATATCAGACTGAGTTCTAGATCTTTGTTGATCTATGTTAAATAATGCTCAGATCAATCCTTAACTTATTTTACACATGATTTAACTTAAATAGAAAGCTAGATATCCTAGCGAGACTAGCGAGAAATTGCTAGTCTTTCTATTCTACAACTTGCAATTTACTAATTATTATTAAAACAACTTACTCTTAGTAAATTACACCTGCTATTTAATTGCATATTACTAGCAAATTACCATGTAAAATGTTTGATCAAATCTGCTTAAGTTCGAATCTTACGAAAAATCATCAAAAAAAGAATATTTTGCGTCATAAAAAGTTTTGTTTTAAATTTTGCATTTGCCATATACTTCACAAGAGCGTGCAGAAATCTCCTTTATAAGCTCGATTCAATTTTGTATGTGACTTTCAATTAATTATTTATCTTGACTAGTCAATTAGCAAGTGAAAATGGAAAGTTACTAGTTATCCAGTAAATTACTAGGAAATTACTAGTAAATTTCTGCTAGGGATAATCTCTTTAAATCTAGCAACTAAATCTTGAAATCCTTCAAGCGACTTTTGTTGCAGTAAAGCAATTTTTAAGTAAAATTTCAGTTTAATATTTTTAATTTTCTTTCAATCCTCAAACTTAGTTCTTTGGGGATTCAAAAATCTACATTTTAATCCTTGATCGACACATCAGATCTATTTGAAGTCTACATAGAGTTCAAAGCTCTTATTGATTCTTTCACTAGTCAATCTACTCTTTAATCTATTTGAATTCAACAAATTTCCCCCAAATTCACGAGACTCCACCACATACACTCAAATATTTATAAAAGAAGAGACATCTACGCACATTTGAATGAGAATGCTTCTGCATAATTTGAAATTAAGTTGATCTTGTTAATTTTTTTAGCCTGTTGTGATGTTGACATGCAATAATTGATGCAAACTTAACAAAATGGTTATAGAATTTAATTTAAATAAAAGAAAAATTATATCGACGAAGATTTAATGAGTAAGAAAAGAATAATTAGATTTTGCTTCACTTAAGATTATTATTGCATTAACATCATTGACGCAATTCCCTCTTTATTTGTTATTTCAATCGGGCTTATCATGAAAAACTTTAATTATTGATACTATTGAAAAGAGAAATGTTTGGGTAGACAAAAAAAGAATAAGTAATGAAATTGAGCACAATTCACACAAATTTTTAAAAAAGCGACGCATTTTAGTTTTTTGAGCTTTATGTCCAAATGAATCGAACGAATGAATGAATTACAACATAAAGAAAAAACTATATAAATTATTATGAAAAGATATAGAATGAATTTTTCCAATCGTTATTTACTGTTCATGTTTTTAGCTCTCCATTTATTATTCCAAATACATTGTTATCTAATATTTTTCCAAATGTTTTTAAGTTAATTATTACGTATTATAGTAAATAAACACAGAACAAAAAAAGTTTTATCTCAAAAGTCATACAACAAATTATGAAACTATATGCAAGGTGGGATGTGGTTTTGGGTGTGAAATGGCTTAAGTGGAGAAGGAAGTGGCTTATTTGAAACTTAACTAGAGATAGAAATGAATTTAACTCATTTATGACCATATGAGTAGCTTTTTCTAAAAATAAAAGCTTTAGCTACAGAAATTAGATTTATTTTGAAAATTCTTGATCATTACTCTTCAGTAAACCTTAGAAACTTTTAGAAAATGATAAGAGTGACTTTTTCTCGAATGTCTTGATAAGATCATACGGTTAAAACTCATTTATAATCTTAAAATCAGATTAACAATAAGATTTGATAGGTTTGAGTTGATCTTGAGATTATCTTGGTAATCTTTGATGTCCTAGAAACATTTTGTGAATCATCAACTAGAACTATCTTCCAGAAAAGTCAAACCACACCCAAAACTCTACCAAACCTTGCAATCTTATTCTATTCAGTCAAATTCAAATCTTTATAGGCTTTGTTAAAAGTTCATGCTCAAAAAAAAATATAAAGGAAATGAAAAAAAAAAACTTTACTTATTTCAAAGCGAATCCCGTAAATTCAAGAATAAAATCTTTCTTCATAAACCAAAAAAAAAGACAACGGAAATATGAACAAAATATAAAGTATGTAGCTTTTATAATATGTAGTCATAACTTACAATCACAACAAAAAAAGAATAATGAAAAACATTTATCTCATAGTTCTATCAAAACTCTCTCTTTCTCTACTTCTAACTCTATTTCCCTATTTCAATCTTCCTATCCCCAGTCTTAATCGTTAATTCTTTTTTCATTCGCTTTGATTTTGTCCTAAAATGAATTTTGTTGATTATCGATGGATCTGGGAATTGGAATTGGAATGGTTTTTGGATGATAAAGGTTTAAATTGAGCTTACAAGTAAACCTTTCCCCAGAATGTTTATTGAATGATCTCAAATATTAAATTTTGAAGTTTAATTGCTAAATTAACTGTAGAGTTAAGGATTTCTAAGCTTTGAATAAGTTGCTGTCAGTCGTTTTGTGATTAATTTCATGTTAATTTATTAAAAAGCAAAGGACTCACCGAATTTCTTAAGTTTTTAATCGTATTCAATTTCTCGGCACTTCCTCACTTTAAGGTGAATTTCAAACATAATTCAATCATTTGAATCTGCAAGAAGCTTTATATTTGACAAAAATCAATGATGCAATTGAAAAATACTTTCAAAATAAACTTTTGCACTGAATTCTAAAGGGGAAAGTCAACTTTGATCAAGAAATGTTAAAAGGGAAAGCCAACTTTGATCGAGAAATTCTGAAAGGGGTAATCAACTACTTCTTAAAAATTTAAACTGAAAATTCAAAAACCATTTTAAATTCCATTTGCCAGTTATGAAAAATTCTAGCAAAACAATATAAATATGAAATATATGAAATACAATCTAACGTCATCAAATAAAAATTTATCAAACAAAAAAAAAGAGTTTAAGAAATTTAATCAAATTAAAAATAAAAGAAAATTTGGATGAGAAATAAAAATAATCTTGTAAATGAAACATCTGTTTGGTGCCTTTCTCAATATATTAAAACACCGATTAATTTCTCATTTTTCTGTATCTTCAGATGTACCAAAAGACAATTGGGCAAACTTTTTTCGGTTCCTTATTCCTATTATAGGTTCTATGCAGTCGATGTCATTAGCTAGTCATCGTTTTCTCTCCCAATTCACTTTTACATATCAAATTCTTAGAAAAGTGGGCAGTTTTTTATTTTCGATTTGTAGGTTCTAATTTTCATTAAGCTTTCATGAAGATCCATAAGATGATATACAATTTTTCACTGCCAATTCACGTTCTACAAAAAAATGAAAAAATTATTAAAAAATACTTGAAAGATTTATGCTTGCAGTTAAAATGAGAATCTTTAAAAATTATTAAGAAAAAGAAGAGCTGTGGGAAGTTTGAGGTTAGAATTTTGGTTGGAATGGACTTTAAGGCTTTTGAAAATTCACAAATTAATTTTAAAAATTTTGGAAAATATTCTGAAAATTTTGAAAATTTTTTTGAATATTTTGAAAATTTTAAAAAATATTTTAAGAGTTCAAAATCATAAAATCCGTTACAAAGAAAAGTTCCAATTTCAAATTTACTAAAATTTGTCAAAAACCGGCAAAACTATCCGTTTCAAAACTTATAAAATCTCTCGCTCTCTCTTTTTCACATAGCTATCGCATAGTATGACATAAAACCATTCAAAAAGTGACAATACATTTTTATTAAGTGAGAAAATTAAAACTTTAAATGTTGAAATTTTCATCAGAATAAAGAAATTTAACAGTAAATTTTAAAAGAAAAAAAAAGAAGATCTATTAAATTGAAGGAGGAAGTTACCTGGTATATAGCTATATAGATAGAGACAAACTACTACTGCTAATAATCGACCTATGACTATTAACAATTTGGATCCAACTACAAGAAGAAAAAAACATTTGAGAAGAAAAAAAAAACCTTAAAAAATATAATGAAAAATTTTTTTATTCATATATCTCGCTTATGCTGTTGCAGCCCAATGAATTTTTGGTCATACTTATTAACATTTTCTCACGCTCTAGTATAACAATTTGCATAATAAAGCTCAAATTATGAAACAAAAAAAAAACACACATTTGATAAAAACGAGACATGTGGAGGTGTATAAAGCATACATATCATTATAGCTGCATAATATTTTGCTCTATTCCGCAAACAAACAAACAAAAAAAAAAATCATCATTGATTCTCATTTTTTCCTTTCTAGTAAATTATGATAAACTTCCAAAAAAATCGAGAAAAAAAATAATGAAAAAAATTTAAAAAAAGCTTTTTCGTCATCAAAAAACGGCTTGAACTAACTGTGAAGGCACGTCCTATTGAATATATATTATATATTGATATATCCTATTATAAATGAAAAATAAAAAAAAGAAGACACAAATCCAATCTATTATTCTTTTTTGAGACAAAGAAAAATGAGACCTTGAGTGATAAATGTTATTGTAAAGATAATTATTTGTAAAAAAAAGAAACAAGTCGATAAGAACTCTTCTAATAAACTGCTGTTGCTAAATAAACATGATGAAATCTTGAAATATTTATAAATGACAAAAAAAAACATCAAATTTAATAAGTGGTTATTGATACTTGTGCTAAATTATCGAGACAAACAAAAAAAAGGTATGAATGTTAAAATGACAAAAAAAAAATAAAAACCAATCGTAAAAAATTCAATCGTTTTCTCTTCTGTCACTTTTTTCCTGTTGAAGAAATTTTTCATTTTGTCCAAAATGCTTTAAAAAAATATTGAAAAATAAAAAAAATTGAAAAAGAAAATATGAAAAATATTTATTGATGGGGAGGTTGGGGATGGTTTGGGGTTCATTAATGTGGTATTGATTAACTTCATCTATTGTGCTATTTCTTTACTTTAATCAAGTATGATGACTTTTCTCCCTTTATTTCAATTTTAATTTACCTTATCCTTATCTATCCTGTTTCAGCTCCTTAATATTCTGTGCTATGGCTCATCTGGTACTTCTATTGACTCTCGAATTTGTTTCCACTCAAGTACGTCAATATTTTATCTTCGTTTCCTCTAATTCTGAATAATCTAGTCCTCATTTCAAGAATTTGATCTGATACTCCCAAAAATCTAGTACTCCAAAAATCTAGTATCGCCAAAAATCTAGAACTCCTAAAAATCTGGCACCCTTTAAAATCTAGTACTTTTTGAAATTTATGTACTGAATTTCAATAAGTACCAGAATTAATAAAAAACTAGATCTCAAATCTAATACTTTTGAAATCTAGTACTTTTGGATATGTAGTACTTTTGAGACCGAATCCTTTTTAAGATTTCGTTCTTTTCTACTTTCTACTCAAATCTTTTTAACATTCTAATCCATATTTTTAAAATTCTAAAATTTATCACTCCCCATCACATAATACACCCAACCCTCATACGCCTAAAAAGTGTTTTGTAGACGCCAAGAAAAAATAAATTTACAAAGAAAGTCAAACGTATGAAAAACTGTATAGCGACAACCAAAAAACACACACACCTATAATAATAAATTAAAAAAATGAAAAAATGATGTTAAATATATCTGAATATGTATCAAAAAACAAAACAAAATCTAGCAAATGCATAAACCAACTGCAAAAAAAAACAGACATAAAAATGTTACTAACATTCTTAAGATCAACAACCCATTATTCTCTTTCATTGAAAGTATAAAAATAAAAATGATGAAAAATAAATTTTCAGATTGTGTTGTTTTTAATTCCTTTATTCCTTTAAAAAAAAAACAATTTTTGAAAATTATTAAATTTCAGGATTTATATTTCAGAGCTGTCCAGCTAGAGACGTCTTTTTAAAAATGAATTTCCAGTCCCTAACCTTATTTGTCACAAAAAAGAAAGATGCAAGTTATTTAATTAAAATATTAAACGTGATTTTAACCCCCCCCCCCCCCCCCCCCCCTCCAAAGGAGCAAAAAAGTTAACAAAACATAGCGTTCCCAATTGTGTGAAAATTTCAGGTTTCCTTTAAAGATGACTAGACGAGCTTTAATTGTTCTGTCTCTAAAACAACAATTTTTCATAAGCATATGATATATAAATAGAGCTGATAGCAAGTAGTTCTTCAGTTAACGGCCATATCACGTTGAAAGCACCAGTTCTCGTCCGATCACTGAAGTTAAGCAACGTCGAGCATAGTTAGTACTTAGATGGGTGACCGCTTGGGAACGCTATGTGTTGTTAACCTTCATTTTTTTGGCAAAATTTTCCAATTTTTACGAAACTTTCGATAAAGGAAAGATAAAGTTTTTAGGTACATGATACATTTACACATCAGAGTCCCATGTAGTCTAGTGGTTTAGGATTTCACGCTCTCACCGTGACGACCCGGGTTCGAATCCCGGCATGGGAATCTATTCTTTTTGCTGAATATTATCTAAAACAAAAACTTAATTAAACTATTTAAAGTTCAACAATATGCTATGTTTCATTTTCACTCTGTTTCTTTTTTGTTACTGCTCTGAACTAGCAGAAAATATATACAGCATAACAATAATTAAGGGTAAATGCAAGAAAATGAAAATTTTGACAAAAAATATATTCCCATGCCGGGATTCGAACCCGGGTCGTCACGGTGAGAGCGTGAAATCCTAAACCACTAGACTACATGGGACATTATTTGATATATATGATTTTGACAAAACACATGTTTGAGCCACAGTGAGCTTTCTTTCGATAAAAGCTTATTGAATGGTTTGTAGTAGTAAGCTATACCTTATCAAAACAGAGGGGCTGTCAACTTTCTGAATGTTTATATTTTTATGACCAATAAATAAGTAGAACACGTAGCTTTTTGCAAATTTCACCAGTGAGGGTATCAATTCCATTTAAATATTTAAACAATCAAGAAGCTAGTTCATATCCCAATATAATGTCGAGTCTCAATCGTGAAGAAATCTTGCTACTCTTTGATGTTGATGGAACTTTAACGCCGGCAAGAAAGACAATTGAGAAAGAATTTGAGGAATTTTTATACACAAAAGTAAAGTCAAAGGCAACAATAGGAGTTGTGAGTGGAAGTGACTTAGCAAAAATCAAAGAACAGCTTAACGGCGATAGTCTTGTGGATAATTTTGACTATGTATTTCCAGAAAATGGATTAGTTTTCATTAAGAATGGAGTTGAAATCAGCAAGCAATCTATTCAAAAGCATCTCGGTGAAGCAAATATTAAGCGACTTATCAACTTCTGTTTACATTATATTGCTGATCTTGATATACCTATCAAACGTGGCACATTCATAGACTTCCGTAATGGCATGATCAATATTTGTCCGATTGGTAGGCAATGTACTTATGAGGAAAGACTTGTTTTTAATAAATATGATGATGAGCATCAAGTTCGCATTAAGATGGTTGAAGCTTTAAAGAAGGAATTTGCTGATGTTGACATTACTTTTGCAATTGGTGGACAGATCAGCATTGATGCTTTTCCAAATGAATGGGATAAAAGATACAGTTTGCATCATGTTGGAACCAAGTAATAAATATTTATGATTAATCTGATCAAATCTAAGTTAATCGTTTATTTTAGTTTTAAGGAAATTCACTTCTTTGGAGACAAGACTTCAATAGGTGGAAATGATCATGAAATATTTGCTGATCCCAGAACAATTGGACATACAGTTGTTGATCCAAAGGATACTGAACGTCAGCTAGCTGAGTTGTTGAATTTGTAAATAAATGAGTATTATTTGTCATACTTTTAAAGTCATTAAAAATGAAAATCAATAAAATTTATAGGATAATTGACATTTGAGAAGTTTAAATTGCATGTTTGCCACATACTTGCTTCATCAATAACTCCCATGTAGTCTAGTGGTTTAGGATTTCACGCTCTCACCGTGACGACCCGGGTTCGAATCCCGGCATGGGAATTAGCTTTTTTGCAACTTTTTTTGTATAAGCTTTAAATTTTTGATTAATTTGCTGCATTGCTTGTGATTTTTAAATTTTTCAAAGTTTGAATGCATAAACAGCAAAGAATGTTGAAACGAAGTGAAAATGGAACATTTTATTTGATTTTTATTTCAATGACTAAGCTAATAGCTTGGGTCTTTTAAAATAATGAAACATAAAGTGCTAATCCGAACAACTTGAAGTTGACTCCCAAGTTTCGATAGTAAAGTTTGAATTTATGATGACCGTTAAATAATTCATTCGTTTATTGTGAACACAATAGTTTCTTAAATTGACATTAATGACAAAGGTGGGGGGGGGGGGGGGGTTGCATGAGACTTTTTGAGTTTATTTAAAATTCAGCAAAAAGAATAGATTCCCATGCCGGGATTCGAACCCGGGTCGTCACGGTGAGAGCGTGAAATCCTAAACCACTAGACTACATGGGACTCTGATGTGTATATGTATCATGTACCTAAAATCTTTATCTTTCCTGTATCGAAAGTTATGTGAAAAAATTGGAAAATTTTGCAAAAAAAATGAAGGTTAACAACACATAGCGTTCCCAAGCGGTCACCCATCTAAGTACTAACTATGCTCGACGTTGCTTAACTTCAGTGATCGGACGAGAACTGGTGCTTTCAACGTGATATGGCCGTTAACTGAAGAGCTTTCTGCTGCGAGCTCTATTTAAATGACACAAATTCATAAATTGGTGTATGAAAATTTCAGGTTTCCTTTAAAGATGACTAGACAAGCTGTAATTGTTCTGTCTCTAAAACAGCAATTTTTCATAAGCATGTGATATATAAATAGAGCTGATAGCAGTGATTTTCTTCAGTTAACGTCCATATCACGTTGAAAGCACCAGTTCTCGTCTGATCACTGAAGTTAAGCAACGTCGAGCATAGTTAGTACTTAGATGGGTGACCGCTTGGGAACGCTATGTGTTGTTAACTTTTTTTTGCTCCTTCATCCTTACTTTTTGTCCCCATAAAATACTTTTTTGACGGAACCAATCCCAAGAAAGAAATAAAGTACGAAAAAGCTTGTTGAATTTCATTTAATTTATTCAAATTCATTAAAAACAATAAAATACAGCTCTTACTCGTCCTTAGTCGAGCGCTTTTTATATTCCAAATAAAATTTAATGACAAGCGAGAATCCCAAAAGGATGAGACTGAACAAGAACAATTTATCATTTCTTTTAGATGCTGTAATTGAATTTGTTGCCTCGCCATTTGTCTCAATAAAATTGCTGTCATGAACGAATCCATTTCCAATGTTTTGATTATTCAACAGATCCTCCTTAACATTCTCATTGACCTTCTTCCATTCATCCTCACTATTGATGATCTCAGCCATCATACTGAACTTTGTGGAACTAATGACCTTGACGGTTACCGACTTTCCTAAGAGATTCTCTCGCATCGGCAATAAGATTTGCTCATAAAATTTATTATGACCGACATAATGCTTCTTATCATGCGATATTTCAGTCACAAGAACCTCATATTCCATGCCAATTCTATTGCTGTATGGTTCGTACGTATAAAATAAGTCTGTTAACTTTTTCGTTCGCTGTTTGACTTCATTTGGTGGAATACGCTTCATATTAGCTGCTGGCGTGCCTGGTCTTGGGAAGAACTGATTAATAAACAGCGATGGAAACTTGTACTTAGCACATAGTGTCATAGTTTCCTCAAAATCAGCTGGCGTTTCTGTAGGAAATCCACAAATTATATCAGTCGCAATTGTTACGCCTGGAACTTTCTCCTTTAAATAATCTACAATCTTCTCAAATTCAGCTATGCAATATTCACGCTTCATTTCACCAAGGACGGAATCAGATCCTGCCTGAACTGGAACATGAAGGAAGCTATAGACACGAGAATGATTTAAAATGTCAGCAACAGCCTCAAGATGTTCAAGAATGTACGGAGGATTTGTCATCCCAATCCTCATTTTGCAGCCTTCAGGAATAACTTCGACAAGCTTATACAGCAATTCTGGTAATGAGGAATCAATGTCACGTCCATAAGTTCCAGTGTCTTCAGATGTTAGCCATAATTCAACGACACCTTCCTCAAAAGCATCTTTAGCACGCTGGACAATCTCTTCTGGTGGATATGATACTAAATCACCTCTTGCATGCTTAGTCTTACAATATGTGCATTGATTAAGACATCCAGAATTAATAGGAATAATTTCAACAAGTGGATTCTTCCTGATTTTCGGCAACAGCAATGATGGACCAGGACGACGTTTCCCATCAACTTTCTTAGCTTGCAACAACTTGACTGTATTTCCTTTCAGTGTTTCCTCAACTACTTCAACAACTCGATCAATTTGATTGACACCAACAATACTTAATCCTTTCATATATTCCTGTTTTGAAGCACCTCCTTGTGGTACGCATCCAGCGACGACTACTTTCTTGCCAACATTAAGACCACTTTGAATGTCATTCCTGAATGTATCTTCTGATGGATTCTTTACTGTGCATGAATTTAAAAGCCACAAATCAGCTTTATCCTTTTGATTAGTTAAGCTATACCCAAATTTCACTAGTTGACCAGCCATGTATTCACTGTCGGAATTATTATGCGAACATCCCCAAGTTTTTACGTAAATTGTTTGTGTTCCGCTGATGATCTGTAAAGGAAGTTGATTTATAATTGTATTAAAGCATTATTAAGTCTCTTACGCTTTGGTGCTCTCCGTTTTCATGTATTTCATTCTCATTTCCATCAACTTTGTTGTTTTTTCTCCTCACACGTAAAACAACATTCTTTTTATTGCTATATCGATCACTCGGCTTTAAATCTCCGGGTTTCACAATGTCCTCAATATCGTCCAAATCCATTCTAATGGATTAATATTTAAAATCGTCAGTAAATTAGGTGCAAATTAATTTTTTTAAGAAATATTGAAAATATTTCAGATTTTTTGTCAACAATCACACATGTTCGGGATTGAAGATTTGAATTTTAAACAGCCGTTATATTAACTTTACACAGGAAGAAGCTAAAAGCTTAGAACTTGTTATACACTGAATCAAAAACTATATAAATCCATTGACTTAATAATATATGAATTATATTAACCAGGAAAGGCATAAATCGTTGAAGACTGGTATTTAGCTTTACAAGCCGCAGAATATTCAAATTTTGAAAAATAGAAACCGTTTATTTTTACGCAAAGAGATATTTATTTAACATTGAATGTCAAAGGGGCCGTTCACTTATTACGTTACGCAAAAAAAACGACTATTTTCACCCCCCCCCCCCCATTGATACAATATGTTACAACTCACAACCCCCCCCCCCCCCCCCTGAACGTTCATAATTTATTCATATTTAATTTGATAATTTTTCATAAATCATTAGGGCCCCGACGAAAAAAAATTATTCGTGAGTGACGCTTTAAATATAAAATATCTCCGAAACCACAATAGTGACAAATTTCAAAGTTATTTTATCTTATAGGAAACAAAATTTTTTATCTTTTGACATACAACTCACTTCCTAAAGTTAAACAGTTTTTTCGGAAAATCACTTTAATTAAGCGTCACTCACGAATAATTTTTGGGAATTTCGCTATAACTTTGTCAGCTTTCATTGACATACCATTGGTGTGAATTTGTAATCAAATTTTTTTCGTGAACTTTTTATTAAAAGACAGACTACAGTTTGAACGTTACATATTTCTTGACACCCCCCCCCCCCCTTTGTTACATTTTGTTACAATTTTTCAAACCCCCCCTCCCCCCTAAAATGCGAACGTAATAAGTGAACGACCCCAAAGATGATTTAAGCCAATATTCAAAAACATTCTCAATCAAAACATTAATTTATTAATTAATAAAAATTAATTAACCATTCAGAATATTATTAAAATTTCTAAATCACCCTCAAAATTTTTGATTAAGCATTTTGAGGAAAATTCAACAGTTGTTAAATTAATGCGAGTTGAAGTAATACGATTATCAACAATTCAAACTTGATTCATAATTTAATTTATGATGATTTCTTCTCTTCCGATTCTTCTTTTTCGTGTTTTATGCTTTTAGGGAAGTTTGATGTATTTATTCATTTGTATTGGAATAGTAAAGATGATGAAATCCTGAAAATTGGAAAAAGGATTTAGATTTTTGACATGAAAGGTGGAATGTTAAGAAGATTAGGATACACATTTTGAGGGTTGAATACTTGACAAATTTGGTTTGAGAATTTTGGCGCTAAAATGAAGATTTTTATCATCATTTTTAATTACATCCGACTTAAAGTAATGAAGGACTGATCAATTCTGATGGAGTAGAAACTACAATACTAGAATAAGACAACTCTAAACTATTCTGAATCTTTGCCTTGCTTTTTGCTTAAATTTCTTGAAAAATGCTTTCAAATAAATAATAATCTTCAAAATTGCCAAAAATATCTTTATATCTATCAATTCATAAGATTCCATCTATTCAAAGATTCTAATACTGAATAACATCTGTTTCTAGTTCAAACCGATCAAATCATCTCCAATCTAACCATAAAATCTCGCTTAAGTATTTCTTTTTGTATAAATTTTCCACGAGAAAGAAAATTGAATTTTCTGTGCATTATAAACGAAAACAGGAGAAAAAGAAACAAGCAGGAACATGTATGAGAAAGATATGTGTTCATTGATTGATCGGAAAAAGGGAATTTCACACTTCATTTCCCCTAAAGACTCAATCAAATCGCTCATTTCTTCCTCCATCCTGAACACAATGATGCATGCGTCACTTGTGTTTCTTATTTTATCAAATCTTTATTTTTAAAATCGCAAGAATGAAGCAGCAATTCTTGATTTCTTTACTCGGTTCTTCTTCTCTCCTTTCTCTTTTGTAGGTCACGATTCTCTTAAGAATTTTTTAATTTCATTTTCCTCGTGCTCAAATTTATGTGTATTGATAAATACTTAGAAGTACATTTACCGCTCACACATAATTTTTTTTTTGAAATTTCTCATAAAGATCTTTTGGATTGCTTCGGTTTTGATGTTCTGAATTTTTGACAAGTTTGGGGGGGGGGGGGGGGCTATCCATAATCAGCATATCTCAGATGCAGGTGCGAAGCCAGGGTGGATTTGGGGGACAAATCCCCCTTCGTCTTGAGAAATTTCTTCATTTTGATAGAGTTTAATGAAAAACTCGAAAAAAATAACCCCCCCCCCTAAAAGTTTTCCATACAATACAAATTTTTTTTTTTCAAATTCCTGGCTAAGCCCCAAAGTATGAAAGTCTGATCTAAGTAGATATTGAACTCAAATGACGTCATTGATGCATAACCCCCATCCATACAGTATGAACTGTAATGCAATGGAAGAGATGAGAGGAGAACTGAAAGATATGTCTAAAGGGCGCTTATTAAAAGGAGACGAGAAAAGGTTATTTGGATTTCATGGCCATGAAAAAAGTTTTTTTCTTTTGGGTTGAAAGGTTTGTTTTGTCTGTCTAGGCATCGTCTTCTGTTGATTGAGTGCTTTATGAATTTTAATTGTGGATTATTTTAATGAAATTTTCAATATTTATAAGATGAGGTTGAAGGTTGAAATATGCTTGGAATAGCTTTTAAGTGATAAAGAATTTTAATGGAAACTAGACAAAATAAGAAGTTCCTTTAAAATTTGAATTAAGTTTTCAAAAATTGAATTTGATTGTCGAAATAGATTTAAATTTTTAACGTTTCAAATTTTTTTAAATTTTAACGGTTCGAAAAAAATCAAATAAATTCAGAGCGAATTGAAATTTGATCATCTCGGTAACAAAATTTGAAATAAGTCCGTTAAAATTCAGCTTCAAAAATCATAAGTAATTCCAGTAATTCCAAAAAATTACCAATAAACTACATCGAACCATCCATTTAACACAAATACAAATTAATCATCACATAACAATTGTGTCACAATTCCCACTTTCCAACAATCAGTCCAACATGTAAATACAAATTACAACTAATTAGATAATAAACAGCAATTGACATGAATTTGAACCAAATCAATGGCAATAAATCAAATGAATTTCCATAAATCATATGTTGGTTATTTCATTTCATTACTTTTATCAGTTTTCAATCTGTAATTATTGGGGAATGAGCTTTATGTGGAATTACACATATCAATCATTATTTGTTACAAATTATTGGATTTACTGGTCTTTATTTTCAGACAAACCTTTAATTTTATTTAATTAACGAAGCTAAATTGTAGACAGCAGTAAAAAATAATTAATCAACTCTTTCTATTTGTCAACATAGATAATAAATGTCTGGATGTCGCTCATTAGTATTGTGTCATATTGAAGATCTTTTTCTAATGGATCCTGTCATTAAGTAATCAGTATAAGGAGAAGGGTGAGTATTAAGTATAGGGGGGGGGTATCTAATTTTTCAATCAACATCATTAATAACCGACCGCCTTTGAGAATTGATGTTCATAATTATTGTTGACTGTATAAAAATGACACAAATTTCCTGGAAGCAACATATATGAAAATTAAAGGCTTGTTACATCCCCTCAAGTGTCATAAACAAATCAACTCGAAAATATATGCGCACCTACAAAGCATTCCATCCACTTAATTCCCCAGCACTCATTATCAACTTGTTAGATCATTTTCGCATGTTTTTCGTGATGGACTTCTTTTTTGCTTTTGTTGTTTAAATGCAGGAATAAATATTTTTTTTGCCGCACTTTACGTCTTTCATTATGATGATGATGATGATGAGCGCCTCAACATTCTCCGTCTCTAAATATTATTTTTCGTCTTCTATCTGCATATATCCACACATTCTCATTTTCGGTTAGTGTTTATTTTCCAAATGAAAAACAACGCCAGTTAAAATGGGAGTTATTCGTAGATGATGTCTATCTTTGAGGAGGGGGAGGGGGGGGGGGGGGGGGGGGGGCAAAACTAAGTTTTGATACTTTCTCTTAAATATTGAATATTTTATTTCACAGCAGGGGCGTAGCCAGAAATTTGAAGAGAGGGGAACAAAAATTTTTTTTGTATGGAAAACTTTTGAGGGGGGGGGGGGGTCGAGTTTTTCATAAAGACTCTAGCAAAATAAAGAAACAAGACAGAGGGGAATTTGTCCCCCAAATCCACCCCCTGGCTACGCGCCTGTTTCACAGGTTAGCAAGGGAGAAAATCTCTTCTTCTTCCTTTGACGTCACTTACAAATATCCCCCAACAAATGTAATTTGCATAATATTTCCGATTCAATTATGTTTCATTTCTCTATCTCTCTGTTTATTTTTCAATATTATTCAGCAATGTAAAGCGACGCCAAAGATAAGAGAAATAAGTAAGTGAGGCAAGTGTAATTTCATGTTATTCCCTTAGTCCCACAACTCGATGTGAAGCATCACAATGTGGTTGTTTTTTCATTTGAAGTGCGCTCGTTTATACCGAAAAAAATAATTAATCCATTATTATTTTGTTGTCTTTTTCTTGTTGTTGCTTGCTGCTGTTTACTTATTTTCTTGAGGCTGAATCTTTTTCGGTTGTTCGCACAGAATTTGATGAAAGACAATTGTAGATGAAAATTAGGCCCGATTTGCACACATTGAAATTCATTGAAATGTTTGCGATCCAGCGACTGGATTGATAGTTTAATTAGAACCAATCGGTAACCAATTGGAAATGGCTTTCAAGCGGCTGTCGCTTAATTATAATTATTCTATTACAACCCAGCCGTCGGATGGAAAACATTTCAATGTGTGTGTGTGTGTGTGTGTGTGTGTGTGTGTGTGTGAAGGCATCGGGAACTGGTCAACATTGAAAAGATAGCATAGGATTCGAACCTTTGCTTTGATAGTTTTTCACTAAATCTAACAATTCACTGTGCAAAATTGTTTAACAAAATCCTAAACTTCCTTTCAAATCCAATCTGCAACTACAACTCATCCCTCAACATCACCAAAAGAAGCTACGTCAAAGAAATTG